TTCCATGGGGCCTGCATTGGTCCGAGCCCTTGCCCGGGGGTTCCATACAGGGCTATGTGCTTGAAATCCGCCTAGTAGTAGGCACCTTCCCTCGATAATCTGGTCCCAATTGGCATCTTCAATGGCACATCTGCGCCTGGGGTTTTCCCCTTGCCAGCAATGTTCAACGCCAAGCCAGTTATCATAGCAGTTTACTACCCGGGTCCTCCGAATCCTTTCCCGGGCCCTACCTAGCTCCCAGACATCTAATGCCATTAGATATGGGTGATCTAGGAGGTCAGTACGGGCCTCTATGGCCATCTTATTAAGTAGGTCCCTACAGACAGCAATAACCACCCGTGAGTCCCTGTATGCCTCCAAGCAGGCCCTGCGCGAGGATGAACTGGTAGTATTCCTTGCAGAGGCTGGTCATCATGACGGAGAAGACGTAGACGATGGCGGCCGGCGGGATGACGACGCCGCCATAGCGATCGAACAGCGGGCCGCCAAACAGGCTGCCGATGAAGATGAAGAAGAGTTGCAGCGAGCCGATCCATGCGATGCTGGAGTCGCTGTGGTTCTTGAGCTGGTGTGTCTCGTAGTACGACTGGTAGACCCTGCTGTCGTCAGCATCGCATCTCATCTCATTTTCAAGGCTTCTCAGCAGACAAACCCAAAAGAATTGATGTAGCCAAACGTGCAGAACATGGCCCCGGCATGGCCTGCCGCCACCGACCAGGCGCGAAGGCCGCCCTCAGGGAAGTCGAGCGGAGCAGCCTTTTCGAGACTGCTGTCGGAAGGGACCTTCTCGGTGTCTGCCGACACTCGGGGGGTGCTTTCGCCGTGAAGCAGCCCAGCTGGCTGACTGGGATGGGCGTCAGTGTACGATTCAGAAGCCATGGCAGTCTCGTATTGAAGAATGCTCGAGTGGACAAGCTGGTGAAGACCCCCGACGAGGACGCTCGCAGGCGGTTTTTAGGGCTAATTTCCTTCCCGGGATATCGGTCTATTCGGGGGGTAAGTTCGGGCAGAACAGGTTGTCTGATTGGTGGGAAGTTCGGTGATAAACAGAGCTGTGATTGGCCCGGAGATCGACACAGGACCTAGCCATCTCCGCGATGGGCTGCACGATGCCCGATCTCCGGACATGACAAGACCGAGGACGCGGGTTTTCCCAACTAGATCTAAGTCAGCCCTAAACCTTCAATTGCACCGTCAAGGATAGGTTGATTCGGGGTTCATACTAGGGCACTCCCAGGACTTGCGACAAACAAGCAGAACTGGACTTTCCAGGATGTGAGAAGAGGACTGCAGAATCCAGTGACTGGAATTGAATATCGAATAAAAATTGCAACCGAACCCAATGCCATTTTCAAATCTGGACCCTGGTATGAATGTGCAGGATAGTACGAGGCCATCCTGTTGATTCTCATTCTTTCGAAGAAGAAATTTTTTGTTTATCGTTTTCTCTCTCTCTCTCTCTCTTTCGAACTGTAGGTATGTACTTAAGCAGGCAGAAGATTCTCTGCTTCACGCTAGCTGGGCTGTGATCATCACTATTATTGTATTCAGTATTAGATTATCAGTCTTTTGCGTTTGCGAGGAGGCAGGCCGATGGACTCAGGGCCTCCTGCAGGTCCACGAGCGCCAAGCATTGTTGCGGCGGAAGTCAGTCGGGACTCAATTTGCATCTGATAGAGAGACGCCGTGGCATGATAATGAAATGAGCTCGCAGTCTCGCGTGTTTGTTATTGCTAGACCACCTGACTTGGCTAAAAGAATACCTGACATTCGCTCTGCTACTACAAGCACATAATCTCTGCAGTCTGTAAGCCTTTCCCTACCGACTAGAGCATAGAAAATCTCCTTTTGTATGTACGCCGTCTACCGGTTCAGGGATAGTGATCTGCCGCGTATCAATTTCTGCTGTACTGTGTCTTAAGATATCTAGTCCAATAATCATCACAATGTATCCTGGAATAAGAAGAGCCAAAGAGGATTGGATTGCTCTAACGCTGATAGGTATATATTCCTCGCCAGGGGAAGAGGACAGACACCTAGTGCATGCAATGGTAGAATGCAAGAGCAGTTAAGAGGCCATGGCAAGGAATACTCAACACGCAAAGTAATTATAAAATTCAGAGATTAGGACTGGCCATGTTAGAGGATAAGGAAATAGAGAGGATGCAAGGGAGCCATTTTTGCTGTACTTCCATCGTGGGTCAAGATGAGGTGGGGCAGGGTGAGCAGGACAGCAATAGAATGCACTTGGACGCTCAAGTGATTATGGCTTAGCAGGTAAGGGAAGTGCTCAGTCATATGTACCGTACTGTAGGATCCTTAGAGCAGCAAAACATTGCTGAGCTGGGTGCAAAAAGTGGCCGCAATACCCTTCCTGGCATCGTTTTCATCGTCAACTCACATCCTCTATATAAATTAGAAGGTATATATACTGTGCATGCTTAGAAATGGAAGAAGAATAAAAAGTAATTCCGGTATTGTTATTCAATCAATCTAGATGTAACCTCCACAACCCATCACCCAGGTAATGCCCTTCGTCCATGACCACTCCCTTCTTCTTCTCCTTCATCTCCTCCGTGCCCATCTTCAGCGGTCCCACAAGGCAGATCGTCCTCTTTCCCCTCAGCCCCGACGGCCACCACCTGGCCCGCTTCCAGCGCGTGTTCCTTGTCGGGCAGCCACCCTCCGGGGGACGTCAGGCCGGGCGCCATCAGCGCCGCACCGGAAAGGACGAAGCGGATGGCGCCTCTGTCGACGCGGAGTCGGGGAAGGGCATCAGGGAAGGCGTGGAGAAGTCGGAGGTGGGGGATCAGAGGGCCGTCGAACGGTTGGAAGAAGAGCGGGTTGGTGTCGATTGTGTAGAGGGTGGCGCGATCGGGGCTGTTTCGCATATAATATTAGCATATCATCCGGACATTGAATGGAATCCGCGATGTGAGTGGGTGTGGATTGAGGATCGCCATCGTACGTACAGCTTCACAGCGTCCAGCTGCGCCTTTTTGGGAATGATCTCATCGATGTACGGCTCGAAACCCGGATACGTCTCGACGAGCTTGCTGCGGAGACTTCGTTGGACGGACGACTTGACCTTCGATCGCGCACCGGCTTGTATGCTGGTAATCTCGCGTGTTAGATGGAATCGACGCGGCTGAGCTTAGAAAACTTGAAATCTCGAGAGAAAGAAAAACAACGAGAGAATGCTAGAGAAAATACACTTAAGACCATCACTCACTCTTTTTTGAACATTTTTGCTTGTCAAATCTGAACGTTTGTTTATATCCGAAGAAATATTGCAGCTCTAGCTCCGGTACAGTATAGAATTGATCTCACTCCGAGACGCAACAGACGAATTCCGGTTCCTGTTGGAGAGGTCGCGCGGGGAGGTGGGAGGTGATGCAATGCAGGCGATTAGATGCAGCTATGTAGCTCTCTCCTAACCTAAAGAAAAGATATGACAAAGGGTATCATCACAAATTGTTAGATATTGTAGCAAGATGCAATGAGAAGAAAATAAGTCTATGATATGCAGCGACAGTATCTCTGCAAACTCCGTGACGCCGGATGGCTTTGGCAATGAGGGGCATGTGACAAGAGGCAGCCTGCGCACTTGGCTCGTTTCGGTCAACGCGGGGAAGGGCTAGGGCTGCACGTGTCCGCTAGTACAGAGATGGAAATACAGTGCTCCCATCATCCATCTAGTTGACACCAACAGGATATGCATCTAATCACAAGTACACAAATTACAAATCTCTTAGACAAACTCACTCAGGATTACAATAGGCAGTGGCCAGATCATGAACATTATTAGGACAATCGGTCTATCTACCTTCCATTCATCACAGCTATGGCATTAAATTCATTACACCATAGACTATAGTCTAAAGGATATAAGACATCCTCATTGGGATCAGGGTGAAATGCCTGACATGTCATTTAATGCTTGGCAGCCCCTGCCTTGATCAGGAGGATATCGCCGTCCTCCACAACATAATCCTTGCCCTTGGTCATGACTTTTCCTGCAGCCCTGACTGCATTTTCGTCACCGTACTCCTTGAGCGTATTATAGTTGTAGACGATGGCCTGAATGAACGTCTTCTCGAAATCTATAGAATGGGGTTAGCCCATACACCACGGAGAAATAGCCAAAAGACATTGCTACTCACCCGAATGGATGACACCAGCCGCTTGTGGTGCTTTAGTACCCTTCCGGATCGTCCATTGTCGGACTTCATCGGAACCAGTGGTGAAGAAGCTGTACAGGTTCAGAGCTTGACGCATGGTCACAATGACCTTAGGCAGAGCCGACTTGGTTCCCAGTCTCTTGCACTCCTCTTCAGCCTCAGCCTCAGACATCTTTGTCAACCGTTCCTCGAAGGAAACGGAGATGGGGATGACAGGGTCACCCGGTGAGTGCTCCTTGATCCACTCAACAACCTTGGGCAGATACTTGTTCTTCTGACGAATATAGTCCTTCTCGCTGAGGTTAATCAGGTATACGACGGGCTTGGCCGTCAAGAGGAACAAAGGATTGATCACTTCAACCTATTGAACGGATCATTGTCAGCGTGGAGCCACTCTCACCGACTCACGTTGAAAGAAGACTGGTAACAGGATTAAAAGGGTTCAGGCGGGACTTGATCTCAATACGACCTCAACGTTGGAATTTAAACGAGGCCGTTCGACGAGCTGGGATTATATCGAGCAATTGCTCTTGTTCATCATGGAATGCAGCAAATTGAAGAGGAAAAAAAAATAATAAAAGAAACAATCGTCAACATACCTCCTTCGGGTTCCAGTCACCTTGCCGGACATCCTTGCCGTCCTTCAGCCACTGGAGAACCTTGGCCACGGTGGCCTCATCCTCTCTCAGCTTCTTCATTTCCAAGGTCTGACCTCCCCTCTTGGTCTGCTTTTGGAGATTCTCCAATGCTTTCTCCACGAACTCAATGTCCTTGAGGCGCAGCTCCTCGCTGATGATGTTGAGGTCACGAACCGGGTCGACATCACCCTCGACGTGAATGATCTCCGCATCATCGAAGCATCGCACGACCTCGAAGATGGCGTCGACCGCGCGGATGTGAGACAAGAAAGCATTGCCCAAACCAGCACCGGTGGAGGCGCCACGCGTCAGACCAGCAATATCATAGACCGTCAGGTTAGCAGGCACCTGCGACCTGGGCTTGTAGTGTTCGCATAGCCAGTCGAACCGCGCATCGGGGACAATGACACGGGCTTCTTCCGGTTCGATGGTCGCGTATGGAAAGTTGGCAGGGTTACCCAGCGAGGATTTCGTAATGGCCTGGAAGAGGGTTGATTTTCCCACGTTTGCCAGACCGACCTGATCATCAAAGTCAATAAAGATGAAGAGAGGGGGGGAAAAAATTTTAACGAGGCTTAAGACACTCGCAAAGACACTAGGTGCAGTATAAAAGAAAGGCGGGGAATGGCAAGTCCTCACATACGATACCACTCTTCAAGTTGTTTCCCGGGCGCCCCAGGAGGACCTTCTCCTGCTGAACCTCCTTCTTAGGCGGCATCTTCTTACTTTTCTTTTTGCTGGCGTAAGTGCGGGCGACAAGGGAAGAGGTTAGAGAGAGGGGGGGCGCGGTCTGCCTGGTGCAATGTCTAAGGTGGGGGGCAAATGCAGAGCCAGCTGCAAATCGATCAAAACGGAGGGAGAAAGAAAAGAAAAAAAGCGCGGGGGAGGTGAGGGACGCCGTGGTGGCGGTTGGCCGGCGGGCCGTCAGAATCACGGGCACAGAACGAGCGGCTTGGGTAGGGACAAAGACTGGCAGGCCGAGTGAGGGGCAGCTTGGGCGGCTCTGCCTGACAGCTGTTCCTTGGGCGGGGATTCTGAATCGACGTTCGTGGCACAGAAGTGTGTGTGTCGGGTGTGGACGAATGAACAGGTTGCTTTGCCGCGCTTAGAGTTTTTCCTTCGGTGATGGTCACGTGTTGGAATGCCCTAGCCCTGATTTCCAAGACGGGACAAAACATATCCAGCTTGGTCAGAGCCAACCAGATAGTTAATCGCTGTTGCAACAGCCGGGTAATGATTTACCCGAATTGGCTGAAGACTTAGCCATTCCAGCTGTCACAGGGACCTCCTTATTGTTGAGGAAATGTAAAAAGAAAAAAGAAAAGAGAAATTGAACTCGAATAATAAGGGTGCGAATGAGTCATTGTCGCGATAGTCAACGAGTTGGTAAAAGAAAAATAGCTAGATTTTCTCAACCCGTCAAATCCCTAAGGAGCTTGTAGGTCTCGTGGGCTTATAAGCTCTATAACAAGCTTTGTAAATTAAGACAAGTAGAATTGCATCATGTTCGAGAGCAGGATCAGGAAGTCGACGCTGTTCGACACTCTTAAAGCTGTCCAGTCAAGTAAATGACAGAACCGATCTGGTAAGGTTCTTGCGGGAATAATACCCCGTGCAATCAACCCTAGCACAGCGTAATCAGAACGATATAATTCGCTCGGGGGTTCCCCGATCGGCTCTCCAGGTTTACCCCACCTGCGGGTGGCAAAGTTCTACTTGCGCGTCACACAGGAAGGAGCGATGGAAGCCAACTGGCAGCTGCGGAGAGATCGCGTGGGTGCCTTACCCAACTAAGAAGGCGCTCACGACAACCTGAAGTTGGAAGGCAGTGCAGCTCAACCTAAGTTACGGAATCTCGTCAAAAGGACTCATCGTTCTGCTTTCATCCCTTGCAGCAGTGGTCCGCTTCTGATGGTGTCGGCGTCCTCGATCTGGGCAGTCGTGGTCCAAGACCGAACGCACCGGCTCCTTCCTTGAAGCTACAGGAACCGTTTTCACTCCCATTCCAGCCAGCCTCAGCAGCAACAGCAACATGCCTGTGGGCGCGACATCATTGGCGGGAAATTCCGAAGACAGCCTGCATGCCATGGATATATTTGCAGAACACGCACGCTAACCATGGGCATTCCAGTGCGAAATGCCCGCTATCTCCACCAAGCTAGCTCTCTGTCAGCTCGCTGCGCGGGTCCCCCAGATTCAGAAAGGCCTGGAGCTGGCTCGGCCGCCGCCAGATGGGCCATCGTCCGTCGTTTCGGCCATTTTCCGTGGTGTTGGTTGGAGCCATGAGGACCGGGGCAGACTGAGTCTGGGGTTATTTCCGGGCCTTTAAAAGGAAGCCTCCGCCACCTGCCGCATCTGCGGTCTGTTTGTCATGCTTTTTGACTGGCGTCGGGATATTATCTCGGCGGCTTCAATTCAGATACGATCCAAATCGCTGAGCGGCAGAGGCGTGCTTGGCATCGCTTGCTTGGCAGAAGCTTAGCTTTCCCCAGGCTACGCCATGGCCCTCGCCAAGCTCCGGGGCAGGTCGCTGTCCCTCGTCATCGGCATTGTCGGCGCATTGGCCTTTATGCTCCAGGGCTACGATCAGGCTGTCGCCAATGGGCTGCTGACTGTCGATTCCTTCATCCAAACGTTCCCCCAGACAGACACTGTCAACACGAGCGGAGCCCAAAAATCCCACAATGCCACCATCCAAGGTCGGTGATGCAGATCAGTCCCACCTCATCAATAGGATATTATCTGACAATCAGTTCAGGGACGACCGTCGCCATCTACGAGGTGGGCTGCGCTCTCGGCGCGCTTGCTTGCGCCATCCTGGGTGACAAGCTCGGCAGACGCAAGACCATCTTCCTTGCCGGATGTATAGTTCTCGTTGGAGTGGCCATTCAGGCGAGCCCTTTCTCCCTGGGCCAGCTCATCGCGGGGAGAGTCATCACCGGTAAGGACGGGAATGCAGACTCATGCGAATCCTTCAACTAATTGCTTGCCCAATATGCAGGTCTAGGAGTTGGTGGATTCACAGCCACGGTGCCCATGTACATCTCTGAGGTGTCGAGAGCAGAGGCTCGTGGTCGTATGGTCCTTCTGGAGGGTTGGTTCGCCATCGGGGGTATTGTTATCGCAACCTGGCTGGAGTTTGGCCTCTACTACGTGAGAAACAGCTCGGTCAGCTGGCGTTTTCCGATTGCGTTTCAAGCTGTGTTTGCCCTCGTCGTCGTGTCTTGTATCATGCTCCTGCCAGAATCGCCCCGTTGGCTGGTCCGCCGTGACCGGCTGGAAGAAGCCTCGAAAGTATTGGGGCGGCTGGATGATGTGCCGGTGGAGTCGGAGACCGTCGCACAAAATATGGAGATTATCCGACACGCGCTGATGACGGATGAGCGCCCTGGCGGAGGTGCGTCGAGCTCGCCCTTTGCGCTGACGGAGAACCGCCATTTGCACAGGACGATCCTAGCGGTGGGCATCAATATCCTCGCGCAGATGACAGGAGTCAATATCATCACCTTCTACTCAGACACCATCTTCCAGGGCGACCTGCATTACTCGGGTACCATTTCCCGTATCATCTCAGGCTGCCTGCAGATCTGGCAGTTCTTCGCCGCCGGATTGGCCGTTCTCCTGATCGACCGATTTGGTCGTCGGCGCCTGCTCATAACTGCGGCGGCAGGGATGGCCATCGCCCAGGCTTGTCTGGCTGGTCTGTCGTCCGACCTGACCAACAAGGGAGCGGCGGGGGCGTCGCTGTTCTTTTATTTCATGGCGCTCTTCTGTTTCCCGATCGGACTGTTCCTGGTCCCGTTCATGTACGCGGCCGAGATCGCGCCTCTGCGCATCCGTGCCAAGGTCACCGCCATGTCGGCATCGGCCAACTGGCTCTTCAACTTCCTCCTGGCAGAGGTGACGCCGGTGGGGTTCGCCAATATCGGGTGGCGGTACTACATCGTGTATGCGTGCATTAGCACATTTGCCTGTCTCAGCGTCACCCTCTTTTACCCCGAGACCAAAGGTCGCACGCTGGAGGAGATTGACGAGATCTTCATCCAGTCGCACTCGGTGTTCGACCCGGTGCGGATCGCGAGGGAGATGCCGTTTCAGACGGATATTTTGGCTCAGGTGGAGGACCCTGAAAAGGGTGTGAAAGAGAGGGAAAATGTGTAGCCAGTTACCACTGTAACATTCTAGCACTTGGTGAGCTTAAATGATGATAGATTTATGATGAGTAGACCCGTCGATTTATTAATGGTTCTTTGCCATGCACTTAATTACCAATCATAGGCATCTTAACTAAGTAACCTCTGATCCCCACCTTTAGATTGAACCAATTTTAAACTCTTTTATATATCTACCGGATATCTTTGGCGCGGTTTAATACCCCGGATTTATTGGTAATTCGAACTTCAGCCACTATCAATCGGGAATAATTCACACGAGTTCTCCCTGTCGTTTCCTATATATTCTCTGAAATATAAATACTATACTGGCTTGCTTTTGAAAAAAAAATTATCTCTTCTCTTTGATTTAAAAGAAAAAGAGAGATAGCCTTGTGGAGATTATATATTCCTTAGTACATACATATATAATTTACATTATTGTCTATATTCAAGACCTTCCTCCTACGACAGCCATGGCCGCTACAGCAGAAGCTGCTAACAATAACAATATCAATATCAATATTAATAACCCCCATCTCTACGAAGGAGAGAGACTGGAGACCATCGCCGGATACCCGACTCTGTTCAAGTTCCTCCCTGCTCGCGACCATTCAGCCAGCAACAACAAGAATAGACCTCCTCTGATGGTCTTCATCCCCGGCGCCTCTCATCTCGCCCGGATCGCCTACGGCGGACACAAGGGCTACGACCCCAGAAACTTCCTCGCCTACTGGCTCAACGCCGCTGGGTACGACGTCCTGGCCATCTCGTACCCGCTGGAGACAACCATCATGGCCCCGCATCATCCCGACTTCCGCGTCCCCGCCTGGGGCCAGCAAGCGGCGATGACGACGCGGAAGGTCGTCGACGAGAATGCCCTGTCCGGCGAAGTGGTCCTCCTCGGATGGAGCATGGGCGGCAAGATCCTCAAGCCGTTTATGGCGTCTGCGCGCGAGTGCGGGTTGCGTGTGAAGCTGTTTGTTGCGCTGGCGGCCACGCCGGGTGGGATTACGGGCTTGCGCGCGTATCCCGCTGGCATTCGGCGCACGGCGGCTGGGTATGCGACCTGTGCGGGGTTTGCGGAGGCGTTTCTGAGGCAGATCCATGAGCAGCAGAGACAAGAGGGTGAGAATGCGCCCGCCATCATCGACGACGACGTCTTCCTTAGGGAGTATTTCGGCCATACCCCCGTGCGTCTGACCTCATGGGGGTTGACCTATCCGGACAGCAGCAACGGTAAGAACAATAACAACAATAATATTGACGACTCAGGCTTCATCCCCGATGAATGGGAAGCTCTGCGCGACGCAGGTCCCACCGATCAAGATATCAGGGGATATCCCTTCATCGGATCGATTCGACCGACGTCCATGCTGGACACGCGGCATACCCTCTGCGACAGCGCCAACTGGGGGATGAACCTGACGCTGAAGCTCACCGCGGACGTGACGAAGGCGCTTAGCAGTAGCCATCGTAGCTCCTCATCCTCATCTCAGGATGAAAAAGAGCATTGGTGGAACAAACTTACAGACCTGGTCTACTCTGCTCCGGCGCAGATGACGACAGAAACGGTCAAGGGGACGCATTTCTTTTTTCTTGGAAAGACGGGCGCAAGAGCGACGGCTGAAGCGATTGTGCGGTTGATTGAGAAGATGGAGCGGATTCAGAGGGAGATGGTGGAGTTATTGGCGAAGTTGAGCTGAAAGAAATTTTCTATATAGAGAGAGATATACACATGAATGTACTGTACTGTATATATAATATATGAATGGAAGGTATATCCAGGAAGATGATTTTATAATCTATAAAGAACTTCCATACGTCAGGAAAGGAGAATAGACCAAGGATTTCCTTGAATTACGACATTTCTTTTCATCAATAATAAGATATTTAGAATTAGTTCGACTTCGTTAAAGTGACAATGACCTTCCCCCCCCCCCCCCCCCCCACCCCTTCGCTCGCCGTAGAAAGGATCTAATAATATAACCTACTGCGTAAACCGTAATGAATTAAGAATCCATAACCCGGACCAGACGCCCATGCGAAATCAAATGTTCACCCCCCATTTCTTTCTTTTTTGTTTTATCCTCGAACGCCAGCCTCCATATCTAGGTACCTAGCCATGTAATCCGTCCTTTTCTCCCCCATAACCTGATCGATACGCAGTTGCAGATAGATAGGTAATTGCTTCTGTATGCTCCGCCCTAACCCTAATGTAGCTTCCGATTCCGACGCGAAAAGAAAAAGGGTGAATATGCCGATTGATAATATGCTGTGAGCAACATTCTCAATCTGAGTCTGGAGATTCGATCGTTAGTATGCACATATGTAAACCTCGATGCTGTCAGGGAGGCAAGGGTTGTGGTCACAGGAACAGGCTTACTTCAGTTCACTTCGATAGGTATCCCACCGGTCTCTTCTCGAAAATGCAGTTCTGCATCCACATCTGGATTTGGATCTGAGTGTGGATTCGGATGCGCATGTGTATCGATCAGAGAAGCAGTAACAGTAGCCGCAGCTGCAGCGGCATTTTCTTGAGGAGATGATGATGATTTGTGAGGGCCAGCTTCTGGTTCTTCCGCTTCGACATGGGTCTCATGTTCTTGTCCTTGTCCACCCTGATCTGTATCTGTGTTTGTATCTTTGTACACGACGGAATGGAATTGTCCTTTATGATCATCGTCATTTCGGTCATTTCGACCAGCTAAAGATTTTCCGTTCTTTTTGACAGTTGGCAAGATACATTTGCAGGAGCAGGGTTCATGTGCGGTGGCATTAGATGAGGTTATAGCTGCAGTTGCTTCGAAGTCTGGGTGTTGTCCAATGTCGTCAATGAGAGTGGTAGCTGCTCGAATCGTCACCTCAAAACGCAGAACATGCTCGTCTTTATCCGGGATCATGTTCTTGTCTGGGATCATGCTGTCATCTGAAGAGTTGTCATGCTGACTGCTTGATGAGTATTCAGGGCTTGACGATGGCAACGGTTGCGATTCCAGAAGACGGTCATCTCTCTTGTCCTCTGTCGCTGTTGAAGACATCGCAGGAGTGTCGTCATGATCCTGGAGAAGAAGCCAGTCAAAGGAATCAAGCCGATTTCCCTCGTCATATGCACAACGAGCATGAACAGCTGATCCCTGATACAGGTCTCCTTCCTTGCTGAACAAGTTGCCAACTAGCATTGAGAACAGCAGAGTCAAGACAACAAAGACACTGACGACAGCCACCATTCTGGTCCGTGAGTACTGATCCACAGGTGGAGCGTACTTTGGTGCCTTGCACGATGTTTCATGGTGATGATTATCGTTGTCCTCATTGTCGTCCTCCTTGTTATCGTCATCCTTGTTGCCATAGTCATGCGCAGTTTCAGCTTCGACACTTGATCCAGAACAGCCTTCTACAGGCCCTTCACCTTCATCTTCATCTTCAGGAAGAGAAGGCCTATACATGAGAAACTCACGCTGACCCACCTCCAGACGAGTGGATCGAGATCGAGAACCTGAACGAGACGGATAGGTAAACCATTCTTTCGGATATGGGCTTCCATCACTGAGAGTTGGCCAGGGCAGCTGCAGGAAATCTGCCGAGAAATCCAAACTCTGCAGCACAGACGCTGCAAAGCGACGCGTCTGATGCCACAGGGACACGACCATGGTGGATGGATGATAGGTGGGCTGGTTAGACAGATACCATGCAGCTAGCTGTAGCTGTAGAAGTAGCTGTAGCTTGCGTGCAGACTTGTTATTGTGTAGAGGATGATGAAGGTAGGTTTCAGAATGATACTAGTAATGAGAGATGAGTTTGAGTGAGCGAGTGATGAGTGAGTGAAAGAAAGAAAGCACAAGAACAGAAAAAGAAGCAGAAATATTTGCTTGACAAAGACATCAACCAAATAAATCACTACTAACTAGGTCACTGGACGGGACATTCCAAATAAAGTCACACTTCCTGCCGCCATCGACCAGCATAATAATAGTAAATGGTATCTGAAAGAAATCTCATGTCTTCTATCATCTAATCACATCAGCCTTACTTACCTGTTTGAATAAAGGCGCTTGTGGTAAACATGCACAGGGAAATTCAGACTCAGTTTCAGACTCAGGCTTAGTCTGATTGACAGGAAGAAATTCACCTAACCAGGTAGCATAGCTACAGTAACATGTACTATATCAGACAGACAAAATCTCACAAAGAATCAATTCCTCAAAATAATCAATCAAGGGGGAGGGAGGCAAAAATCCTTCGTCTTTAACCACGCTATGGCTTCCCTGCGGCTGACTGGTTTTTTATTCAAATTTTTTTCTTTATATAAACCAACTTGCTTTGTTCTATTTACGTAGTTAGTTACTTTTGTGGGATGTCTTCTCTATCTATTTCCGGAAGTAACTACTACCATATAAAAATTTTCCTTTTTATATAAATAAGTACAGAAGAATTCTTTGACTTGGACTCTACATCTTGATCCTTTACGTCTGAGAAGCTCGTTCTTACATCTGTCTGGCCCTGGCCTATACGGTGAATGCACTGTATTGCAAGATGTCCACCCGCCAAAGGTGTAGTACATATTGCATAGCAAGGATAACATACCAAACCATGCTAAATTACATAAGATAGCGTGGGATATGAACTGCTGCTGCTGCTGCTCTCTGCTATATCATACCTGCCTGAACCCCGGCTGCAGAGCAATAATAATAATAGTATAAAATAAAACTACAGTAGCAAGAAGACCCAGACCCAGCCCAAGCCTGTTCCTCTTCCCTTCCCTTTCCTTCCCCAAATACATTGCCGAATAAACGCCCAGAAATCGAAATTTGAAAAGACATACTATATGGACCATCAAGTCTCCATGGCTTCTCCCTCGCCCTCTTCTCCGTCTACAACACCCAGGAGTTTGGCATAAGGTACTGTCACACGTTGGAGATCCCGATATTTGCCTGTGATGGCAGATTAGCAAGGACAATTCTGGCAGTCGACAACATTTCTGAGAGTAAGAAAAAAGGAGAGCACTTACCAAGAGCGACGATAACCTCTTTCAATAGAACACTACGTGGCCAGCCACAAAGAGTATCCGACTCCAGCCAATTCCTGCCCTCCTTCTCATTGGGTTGAAGTTTTCGTGCTGGGCCAGCCTCGTTCTCATCCTCAAAGATTCCACCGACCAGCGACTTTAGCAATTCCTCAACCTTCCCCCGTAGACCTTCCGCTCCGATGCGTTTGGCATACATGGAAAGGTATAACCGGAATTCTTCCTTGGCGCCGAGGGACAGTGCTGCGGCCACCCGGTTCTCGAGATGAGCAATCGACACGCTGGATTCGAAAGTCTCGTATCCTTCGCGCGAAAGCAGCATTTTGATGAGGCGTTGCAGGAAATATGCTCGTCCACGAAGCAGCGTCTCGCTGGTGGTGTTCTTCTCCAGGAACGGTATGATACCGGCAGAGACATTCTTCGACTCGTCGCCCTTCTGGGTCTCCATTGTTTGAAGGTTCCCCACCGAAGCATCGGTCGTGTTCCAGTATTGACTGCCCACAGCCCACCACGCTTCTGAGATTCGTTGCCATGTGTACATGGCCTGGGAGTATGCATAGCCTTCACCATTAGAAAGAGCTACCACGATCCTCCCTTCTGAGTTCAGACGGGCACCAGTGATGGACGGTGCGGCAGTTGGTTGGGACGTTTGCGCATGTATTGCAGCGTCTAAAACCGGCTGAAGAGAGACGGGCGGATGAGGCGAAGAGAGCGTCTTCACGTTCCACACATAGCACATGCCAACAGCCGAAATGCACAAAATCCACGGCCCATTACTCTCTAGTATGACAGGCTGGGCTTCGAGAACCAGCGCGCTAACTAGACGACGCCCGGCAGGTGTCCAAATATATACTGAACCGTCCTCGCAAGCTGCAGCCCACATCCCATTGTTTCCAGTTACAAGGAGGACCGTCCTTGGAAGGAAATCCTGCCACAAAGGTTGGTCGCCACGACTCAATGTGATCCGGGCTGGTTCTCGATCGGCCGCCCTTCCAGTTAGAGTTGCAGCCGGTGGGTTTCGTGCTTCGAAAACAACATCTGCTCGCGACTTGCTCGCGTCGCCCGATGAGCTGGGCGGCTCGGTGGGATTCCCACTTTTATCAATGGCGTGCACTATCACATTGCGAACCTTTGGCACAGCCAGTCGAAGCTGGCTAATCGCCATACACGGGTTCGTGACGGCTGGACGGATGAATTCTGGGGTCGGTTGCTGGCCAGTGACTGGCGGCAGCGTTGGAGCAGGCAATAAGCCATCCGCGGTGTTCGCAAGTATGGGCGTCGCGCCATTCTGGCTCGCCATTGCTATCCGTTTCTCAACATGTCCCTCCTCATCTCCCTCAATCTGCGCTAGTTTGCGTTTGTTGCCGAACAGCATTGCCGCAAGGCCACCCTTGGGCAGGCCGTCGAACGGCTTCGAAAGATCGAGGACCGACTGAGGCGCATCAGGCTTAGCACCTTGATTCACTGTGGCTGACGCCATCAGTCGAGACTGCGGAAGAGACGATTCGGCACCGCCAGCTCCTGAGACCAGAAGAGGAGCGATACGTTTCTTGCCATCCTTGGTATAGGTTGGGCGTTGTTTCAATCTTTCCAGTTTTGCCTGGTAAGGATCAGGCTTGTCCTTATCCTTCTCCTGCTCCGACGGTGTCGCGGCCGTGGTGCCGTTTGTCTGAGTTTTCTGTGTATCGGAGACTGCGGCTGTACTAGCAGCCGCAGCAGCAGTGGTTGCGCCGTTGGTAGCAAGCGGTGCTGCAGAGGTTCCATTGACGGGCTGATCGGTCGAAACATGGCCATCTCCCATCAAGGCGCCCATTCTACCCTCCACGCCTTTGATCTCCCCGGCCTTGCTTTTCTCTTCAAGCAGCAGCCCGTCGGGGGTTTCTGCAATGCCAGCACCTCTCCTGTTCGTCCCAAATTTCGTCAAAGATCTTTCATTTTCCTCCATCGACATCGGGTAACCCAGCTCGTCCTCTTCGAACCGGATCGCGAGAATGGTTCCATCCAAAGCCGTCGCGAAAAGACATTTACCATCCGGACTCCAGGCCAGGTCAGAAATTGACTTGGCAGAAATGTCCTGGGTGACAACGATGGGCCGTGGATTGCTCGTGATCCAGACGCTGAGCGACTTGTCCCCTCCTGCACATGCGATGACCGTGACAAGGTTGTGCGTTGTATGACCCTGGCTATCAATCGCAGGCTTATTACTGATGGGCTGCGAAGAATACAGCCTGGGAGAGAACGCGCACACTTCTACCGGAGCTTCGTGTCCTATAAGGTTGATGTCGCTGTCCCACGATCCACGGTTGATGATCGCAACTGAACTCACGGGTCCGTTGACGGCATTTGCAGCAGCGATATGCATACCATCTGGGGACCAGGAGCATCGACGGAAATAGGCCGTCAATGGAGAGCTCACAAACGGAGCGGAAATCGTCTGTTCCAAGACGAAATTGTTCATCTGGTCGTGGGCTGTCGAGTTGGGAGTGGGAGAGGTAAAGCGGAATATTCGGACCGTCCGGTCGTCACTGGCGGTAGCAAAATATTTATTGGCCGGATCGAATGTGATTCCCTTGACATGACTCTGATGGTTGGATAGTGTCTTCAGTTTCTCGAAAGTATGGCCTGACCAGACGACTACTTTCGAATCCAGTCCGACAGAGACAAGGATCGACGAGTCATATGACCATCCCAGATCTTGGACGTCGTTATCGTGTCCTATTAATCTCCGTATTGTGCGCCAGTTCTCGACAGGGGGTGCTTCATTCGATCCTAAATAGCACAAGCACGTCATCAGCCATGTCCTTTTTTCCCACCCCAGGAGCTCTACATACCGAAGGTGGACGCATGAGACGGCGGATTAGCCTCTAGGACGTAAACACAAACGATTTTGTCATCTGCGCCCGAGGCAAGGTACCTCCCATTCGGCGAGAAGCGGACAGCATGGATGGTCCCTGAATGATTGCTCATCGAAGCGAGCTGCTTGGGCTTGTTGGCGTACGCCGGATCCGCCGCATTGTAAATAGCTTCGGTCGACCATATCCGGACGTATCCATCTGTATAGCAATATCACACGTAGAGCAACCGTCAGAAAACTATTCACATAACCTTTGTCGTTCGGATCGTCACCGCGCAGGTGAAAAAGATCACGCAGCGCATGGAAGCAAACACGACCGCTAAAACTCGGTCGGACAGGTTGCGAGAAATGCGACCCAACTCACCTCCAGCAGCAGTTACCAAACGACTTCCATCCGGCGAAACATCGCAGCTATAGACCTCAAAATCCTTTCGCTCACCTAGAGATGATAAGAGAGCAGTGTTAGTAGGCGCATGGACCATAAAAAAACAGCGCAGGAACCATCATCCCCCAACGTCACAAATCCAAGATCCCGTAAGACGTACCTCCATGCGTCAACCAGACAGGCTTGATTATATGCATCGCGACCGCTTTGTGTCTGCTGTCGTCCGCTCGATCTGTCGTTCGGGTGAAGGGCCGCGCTTCAAATCACTGCTGAGCACTACTGTAGGAAACCGAATAACGGCGTGAGTCGAGCATCGCAAAACACCCCGCACGACGCTCAAGATTTCGAGAGTTTCAAGATGGGAGTTTCTTCGACAGCGAAGCCGACGAGAACAGAGGGAAAAACTTTCGCTGTCAGAAGGCGACTAGCAGTGGCTGCGCGGAGATGCTTGATCCAGGGCGCGCTTCCAGTTCTCTCAAAAAGTCGCGATCTCCACGTTCGGCGCGGCAGTCGAATGGTCCGAGCTCCTGCGCCAGATGGCGTTTATTGTCCAATAGTAAGTGGCCCGCCAGCAGCGGCCAGCTAGAACTCGACTGATCGATAAAGTACTCGACAACTACGTCCACATTTAAGATCTTTCTCACAATCAAATAGTCGCACGAACGACGACGAACCCAGATGGCAATGCAATATTCTACAAGAGCCACAGTGTAATTTTTTTCGACTTCCTCCTTAGGTCTTCGAACTATGTACACCTCACTTAAGGAACCATTTTTGATAGCGTACAGACTCAACCAAGGGCCCAAAGCCTCTTCTGAGTTACCCGCTCAAACTCCGACTCCTAGAAAGATGCCAAGAAGCAATGAAGGGGAATAATAGTTAAACAGACATAAGATCTGAGAGGCGCTAGGCTGGGAGAAAAAAAGTTGGATGAAAGGCTTCGTATCATACATATGTCGAGTCAAAAATGTCAGACTGGGACTGCCCTTTGTTCACCTCTTCTGCCGGCTGGCCTCCTCGAAACCATCCAAAACACTCTTTGTGACTTCGCTCTGGCCTTGCTCTTGTTCCTTTTCGGGCGTCTGTTCCACCTTCTGGACGTCGGCCTTTACCTCTGCGTCCTGCTTGACTTTACGGGAAGGCTCTACCTCCGGCGGCTGCTGAACCCCCAGAGCCTTCGCAGCCAGGGCCTTTGCCTGGCTTTCGTTGACTTTCCCGTAGACGGACAGCGCGCTCGCGATCATGCCCCCAATATCGCCAACATTTCCAGGGACCACGACAGCAGTGCCTTCCCGGGCGAGATTGCCAAAGGCCTCAACGTATTTCTCCGCCACACTGAGACTCACAGCATTCTGGGCGTTCTCCTGGCCTTCGCGGATCGCTTTCGCCACAGCTTCGATTCCCCGAGCCGTCGCTTGAGCCTTCAGCAAGATCGCTTCAGCCTCACCTGCAGCCCGATTGATCTGTTCGGCCCGCAAAGCCTCCGAAGCAAGGATAACAGACTGCTTGCGACCTTCAGCGATATTGATCGCGCTTTGTCGCTGACCTTCAGATTCCAGAATCTCAGCGCGCTTGGATCGCTCTGCCGTGACCTGGCGGTGCATTGCAGCCACGACCCCTTCAGGTGCATGGATATCCCTGATCTCGTATCGCAGACACACAACACCCCAGTCCTGCGCGGCTTCGTTGATGGCCTGCGTAATGTTCGTATTTAAGGTAGCGCGTTCCTTAAGAACATGGTCCAGCGTAAGCTGACCGATTTCGGATCGCATGGTCGTCTGCGCGAGCTGAGAAATGGCATACTCCGCATCTTCAACTCCGTAACTGCACGAATATTTCGACCTTTGTCAGCTTCCAGAAGAGAATAGACCCGCATTTCATTCACAATCGAAGTAATACAACACAACGGCCACCAGATCATGTCCATCGTGCCGCCCATGTCTTCAATTGACTAACATACCTAGCTTTGTACGCATCAAAAACCCTTGTATACAGCACTCCATCCAGCTCCAACGTGACGTTATCCGCCGTGATGGCATTCTGACTGGGGATCTCGATGGCCGACTCCTTCAAGCTCTTGACGTACGCAATGCGGTCAATAAAAGGAATCAGAATGGCCAGACCGGGCTCGAGGATGCGATGGAACTTGCCCATCCGCTCAACAATCCATGCCGTCTGCTGGGGGACAAAGCGGATGATCGTGTTTGCGGGGAGCGAGCTCCGCTGCGAGAAGTACGACTGGGGGGCACCGGAGTGAGAAGAGCCGCCCGAAGAGAAGCTCAACAGGGAGGATTCCGGAGCCAGGGCGCGGGAGGAACTCGACAGGTTTCTTCGTCGCAAGGAGCTGGGACTCTGCGAGATCGTAGGCACGAGATGCCTGTTTCTGGTCGTCCTGGCGGCCTGGACAAGCATTCTGGAGCCATTGTTGGAGGGCCGAAGCAGCCGTGAGGCAGACCTGGAGGTCACCTCCATGGTGAAGGGAAACAGAGGCGGTTTTCAGATCCTAATGGGAAAACGTGTTGCTACAGAAAGATATCCTGCGCTGATTGTCCTCACTAGCTTGCTTACCAAGTCTCGGCCTTGGCACCTTCGCCGATTGTACGGACACGGATAAACTAACACCCGCTTCCGGCTGCGGCCGCGGTCAGCACACGACTCTTTAATGAGAAAACTACCCAACTCCGTAATTTGTAGAGAATCTCTGAAAGGGGCTGAATGATGAATAATACCGGCAGAAGTGCTTTGTAGATAACGTGGGACCTGTATCCTCTCATACTCTAGAGAGAGTAAAGGGCAGTAGTATTCACCTTCAGCAGAGCAGACCCTACTCTACACAGAGACGAACAATAATACTCAATCACAAACAGGAGTCTCATTTTCGTTCTTATCCACTACCAATGCAACCAGTTCCGAAATCTTACAAATCAACGATGCGTGGTCCTAAGCCGACGCAGCCTGAGAGACGCAGAAAAACAAAAATAGGACGAGACAACCATGAGATGCCAGCAACATAAACCTCCTACACTCAGTCCATCCCACCATCCACCCAGAACCTCCTGAAAGCTGAGAGAGAGAAAAAATTCATACGCGAATGGTCGACAAAGCAAAAGCCGGGAGAACAGTTGCGTAATCGGTCACCAGGAATCCCTGGTTGCTTTGCACGATCCATTTCGCCACATTATGCAGCCGTTGAGCAGTAAAACTCGGACGTGAGGAAAGGGTGGAAAAAGAAGAAAAGGAGAGGGGAAGAAAAAACAATAAGTGAAGAAGGATAATAAGAGTAACAGGATCACATGCTATGCAAAACAAGAGAGAAGAACACAATACACAGAAGATACATCGGACAATAGAGACAACAGAAAGGGAGAAAGAAGACGTGAAAATTGCCCGCTGAAACGGTAGTCAACCACGGTCTTCTGAAAGATGAATGAAGATGTTGCCTCGGTTATCCTCTGGCGCAGAATGTTGGATCGAAACACAGTCGAATTCGTCTTTTTATTCTCTTTTTTTTCGCGGAAGCCGATTCCGCTTGACCCTTTTTTTTCTTTCTTTTCATGCGTATGCCCGCTAAGAATCCGAACAGGAACAAACCGAGGAATTGCTGGATGAAAAAAAATTCTATCGTCGTGGGAAACTTTTTTTTCCTGGCCCGGTGCTGCCGCACAAGCAAGTATCGAAATGGGGGGATACTGCCCATTGAGAAAATGAACAAAATGCCCGGACGCCGGTAGCTGTGAACCTCCCATGACTGAAAATGACAATGAAAAGATGCAACAAAAAGGTTGGCGACAATCTCCATTTGCAGTGCCATGTGAATATATTTTTTCTCACACTCGATGATTTCGCGGATATTTGACGTGAAACTCAAAAAGAACAGGGATAAGAGGTCATGAAAAGGGCAGAAAAAAGATTTAGGGTTTTCCACAGGATCATTTGTCGAGTTCAGCTTTCAGATTCTCCGATATAATTTGGTCGATCTTCTTGCGGCTGTTTAAGTTGAACGCACCGTTTCGCCAGGCCGAGCGGAGTTTATGGAAAAGGGGTCTCCCATTAGTCGTAGATTCGGTCTCGACAAGGTCGACCAAATCCTTGGCAACCTGATCAGGGAGCACCCTGCTGCTCATCAACATGGAATCGTAGAACTGAACGAGACAATTAAATCCGGTTGTGGCACTGCCCTTCCGATGATCATCAAGTGCTAGATTCTTAAATTCATCGTACATCTTCGCGTTGAAATTGTTGACTAAAAAGTGCGACCAAAAGTGATAGAGCACGTCCATATCATGCTCCCCATCATTTATCGTATGATCACGCTTCTCGAGAGCTTGTTTTCGGAAAACGCTATAAGACACGTGGACAATGTCCGAGGAAGGAATTTCAGCTGGGTTGTCTTTCTCTTTGATCCAGAATGCCGGCACCTGGGATCTGGGTTCAAAAACGTCATTACCCTTTCTTAGTGACTTTGGCACATCATTATTCTGTCGTGATTTATTCTCTTCAGCGCTACAAAAAAGTTTAGTCCTCATCAGTACAAGAGAGAGAAGGCAATACATACCTGAGGGAACCGGCTGAAGCCCCGCCGTTGGTAGGCAAATTGGAGTTGTCATCGGAAGTCACTGGCCCGCCCGCTGTTTTGGAACCGTCAACAGAACCGTTGGCAAAAGAACGGGGGGGATGGTTGAGAAGATGTTGTTGTGGCGGGCTACAAGACCCTGGCTTACGCACCACGATTACCAAATTCTCAACCTGGTCGTCGGGGAAGACGTTGTGTTCATTGGGTTTCCCTACATTTGCACCTTCGTTTTGAACGCCAGCCGGCACAAAGGGTGTGAATTCGGGAGCTGTCGAGGACAGAGTTGTCCGGGGAACGTTATGCTCTGTCGTACCGTTTGGCACTGCATTCGCGGGCGTCTGCGACGCATCCTGCACAGATCCATTCGGCTGGTTATACGACGCATTGTCATCACGCTTTTCGGCATCTGCAGACGAATTCGTCTTGGGCGGCGGAGGGCCGTCATTCCGTGCTGACGGGTCGCGTTGCTCCATACTAAGAACCCACTGTTCCCATTTCTCTCTGGGACGCAGACGATCAACGCCGTCTTCGCCATACTGATATTCAGCATTTCTCAATTGGCGGGCACAATGACGTAGGAGTTCAAAATCTTCCGTGAGATTCTTGATCCTCTTGAAGTTGGCGATGAAACTCAAGGGCACAAAGCCTTGAGAGTCCATGTGCTTGCGCAAATACAAGTCTTTGCAGAGATTATCCACCGAGAAGTAGTATTCACTGCTGTGGTTTAGTATACGCTTTGGGGGGATGAGAGGTGAAAGACACTTACAGTTGCATCTGGATCATGCCCATAAGCGAGAACGGCTCCATGTATGGCTGGTATGGGATTGCAGTCATGGGGACTCCAGGATGCATCGGCGGGTAGGCATACATGGAGTTAATGTCAGGCATGGGGTAGACACCATACAATCCAGCGGAATTGGGTAGCGAAGGGGACCGCAACGACAATCGGTGGTTCGTGTTATGGGGCTGCGAGCCGTTCTGGAACCCTTGATGCTGCGAACGGCGGTCACCAAATGACTTGGGCGGAATGAAGGAGTTCTGAGAAAGCTGCGGGTTAGAGAAGTGTGGATTCTGGGAACCACCACCATAGTGGCCGCCTCTCCCCCGGTAACCGCCGCGACCTCTCTCAGGGCGGGAGTCGCCACGCTCCCTTGGGTGTTCTCTATCTCGTTGGTACTCTCCCTTGTCTTTGTTGAAATCTCTGTGCTCACGCCAGCCGCTAGAATCGCGGTGGAAATCTGCAGAGCGTGGAGGATTGTCAAAACGGCGTTCGTGATTAGAATTGAAACGAGAACCACCGTGACCATCAGCGGGCGCATTTCCTGATTTCGAGTTATGATCTCCGCCCTTGTGGGTAGGGGCGGATTCCTGGCTTTTGCCCGAATACCGGTTTTCGCGATGAGGCTTCGCAGCAGCGTCCCCAGTAGTGGTCTGAGGTCCATTTGTAGTGGCATGAGAATCTTCGGCTGCCTTTGCCCGAGTATCACCTCGCGAACGGTCTGGAGCTTGCGAAGATCGCCGCTGATCATTGTTCGCACCAGTGTCAACACTGGTAGGCCTTCTAGACTGAGCAGGCAGAGAATTGGCCCGCGCAGGATTAGACTCATGCCTTCCTCTATCTGGCAAAGATGTCTGCTTGTTTGCTGGGCCTTGGGTTGTCTGTCCGGACGTAGCCTTATTATCGGCTCCATTGTTGTTGGTGCTAGTGTTGTGAGCACCACCACGGCCGCCGTCCCTCCCGCCGCGAGAGGGTCGCCCGCCTCTGCGAGCGGCAGATGGGAGGGGAGTATTGAAGACAGCAGTAGGCACATATGGCACCGGTGTCCATTTCTCTTTGCCATGCGCTCTGATGACAGGGCTCTTCTCAGCCTTTTCGCTCTTCTCTTGAGCTCTCCTCTTCTCTTCGCCTTGCGCAGTCTGTGGGGTGGGCCACGCAGACGCATCACCAACCGGTGGAAGCGTAGCCTCTGCAGACTCCTCGTTTGGACGCGTAAAGCGGCCGCCGGATTTCCTCGAACCTATAATTATCAGTAAACAGGTCATTCCACTTGACAGGATCTGATTGGCTTTTACCTTCTTCTCGTCCCTTTGCATTATCGGCCTTTCTGCGGTCCTTTCCTTCGGCTTGGCCATCGCCCACTTTCTTCTTGGCACCAGGCTTAGATGAATCCTGACCGTCTCCAGGTGTCTGTGTGCCAGCGGTGGCAGGCTTCGCAGGAGCGAGCTTGGAGGCATTGGCAGCAGCATTTTTGAGGGCAGCAGCATTCGCTTTAGCCTTGGCCTCTTGGGCTTCTTTCCGCTGTTGCCACACATTCACCGCAGGAATGGGGGCCGCCTTCAGCTCCTTAGTAGGAGCACTCTTCTCCGGTGCAGAATTGGAGGATTCCTCTTTCTTTGCCTCTCCCGCAGCGTTTTGCTTTTCAGCAGGAGCTGAAGCCTGCGACTGCTTGTCCCACGTAGGTTCAGAGGTCCCATTCGGGATTGCCGAAATGTCGTCCTCCTTTGGCAGCGTGGAGGTCGACGCAGTTCCAAAACTGGGGGATGAAGTGCCGGAGACCACATTTTTGGAGGAGCCCGTAGTAGCCGATTTCGACTCGGGATCAGGTCCCGATTCACTCTTATCCACCTCCCTAAGGGCCTCATTCTGAGTTGAAGATGGTTTTGCGCTCCCACCAGCAGCCTGGCTGTTGGTAGACTCCTCCCGATTCGAAGACGTCCCTGCCTGCTCTGTAGATGGCTTCGCTTGCTGCTGGGAGGCGGTAGACAGGCCCTTTGCAGCCTGGGCATAGGAGAAAGCGGGCATCTCTGGCTTACTGGTCGTAGCCGCCATCGTGACGGGATTTCACCGTGAAAAGGCAGCCAGACACACGTGTTCCACAGCTAAAGACAGCGGGAATCGTTCGCAGAGAGAACTTCTTCCGCCCGCTGGCGACCCCCACCAATCTGACAGCTCCACCGATGCTCAGAAGAAAAGCAGAGACTTCTTTTCACTGTATTCCCGGTTGTTCAGACCAACGAATCCAACCAGAAAAAGTGAATCCCAGATGACAGAGTTTGTATTCGACGCGGCAACAGATATCCGAACCCTGCGAGTCGAGAACCTAACAATCGTGTCGCATCGGTACAAAAATATCGAACCTATCCTGGCAACAGCTGAGGGGGCGACTGTGGGTGCAGAGCACGATGCTGTTGTTTGTTGTCGATGGACGACGTTCCCTTTCCTGCAGAGACGAGGCACTCAACACCAAAGGGCAAGTGAGTTAACGCCGGTTGTAGGGAAACCAATCCCCCGCCCCTCTAGACAGTACTGCGATTGTAGCTGCAATTTAACAAGAAGCTAAAATCCAGGAAGGGACGTGAGAGGGGTCCGCAAAGGCAGATCAGACGCACACCTGTGGACGATGGTGGACGTTTGATGCTGGTCGAGCGTCGACGGTCGGTATTCCTTTTCCGCCCTTGTGAGGCAAAAGTGAGGACGCGGTTTGCACGTGGCGATGCTGGCAGCGAACTGTCTGACGCGCGAACTGAAGGCGTCCCTGGCCGTGTTCTGTCCAGGAGCAGGCAGAGACAGCGATCTCAGAGGGCACCCTCAAAGGTAGGACAGACAGGAATCGTCAGGCGCAAGTGAAGACGCCGACGCGGTAGCAGGTGGTGTGCGGGAATTTAGAGCGATGGGAGAGGGAAATGGGCGAGCTGAGCACAAGCCTCTGCCGCACAGAAACACGGGCAGCAGAGAGATAGGACAGCCGAAGAGAAAGGAGTGAGAGAGGACACCAGGTAGGTGTGAGAGGTTCGGAGAGAGGGAGACTGTGGAGGGAGAGTAAATGAGTTGAGGATTGTGGAATCCGCACAAGTAAAAAAAAAAGTCTTCCTGCTTCCCGTTTAACTAAGCTAGCAAAAGCGGTTTTCTCTTGGGTTGCCGAACGCCCGCGGTGTCTCCCGCTGCTCGGTGCGCTGTGGGTAACGAGTGACCAGTGCTAGGTAACAGCTAGGTCATCCAGCACGCGGGCGGCGGCGGATACGCTGTCACTGTACGCCGTACGGGCAAAAATACAGCGCATTACGCCGGCTTCTGCGGTCCTGGCGAGGTATTGGTGCCTTAATTACCAGTATTCGCAGTTTCATGGTACTGCGGATGAAATGTATTACATACCACAGCTCTCCATTCTCTGCTGAATAGGTGCTAGGATAAATCAATTGGCTATGAGATCTTCTCTGCGACTTCGACAAGCAATCAATTTATTTTCCTTCCAGACAAACTCGAGTTACAGTTACTATGGGATGAAACCGGCCGCGTGTGCTGCCGGAGCTAGTAGGTATGTCCAGTACGCCAGTACAACCGGATGGATGGCATATGCCATGCAAAAAAAATATCAACCACGACCACAGGGCACGATTATCTCTGATTTGATCTTTAGCTGCCACTGATATCATATTTCGACAGATCACCATCAATATTTATAATGACTCGTTTCTCTGCTGCCTGGTCATCTGTCGCTGCAGACGTAATCAATATTGGAAGCCTGGTAAGGCCAACCCCGCCACGAGCAAAGCAGCACAAGCGTGGGATACGAACAATGAACTAGAATGCTACATGGGCATTGGCAGTTTACTACTAACTACTAGCTAGCTAGTAGTAGCATTGATTAACCCCTCATCCCCTCATTCAGTATTAGTAGTACATACAGACGTACTGTACACGGGATGAACCCCGCTCCTACAGAAAACAAAGAAAAAAATTTCATAATATCCCGCAAAGTCCAGGAATATCCATTTCTCCGGATGCTTTGCGGGAGTGAAAAATGGAAAAAAAAACTAGGCAGGTCACATTATTGGAAGAATAATTAAAACGAAAAGAGAGAAAAGAAAGAGAAAATGCGGCATGCGCGGTTCCGGCCGACCAGGGCAGGATTAGGCAGTCTTCGGAATTCTTTCAGTGGGGTCGCCCGAAGAAAAATCGAGGAGGGCCTTCTCTCTTAATTAGCAATTAATAATAATGATGAGGTTTTTCCGATATTAAATTACGACGGGATATTTTCCCTCTTTTTATCCCCTAGAACCACGAGGCTCTTGAACTGGAATTGGAATTGAAATTGAGATTCAAAAGAACCCTGTCAGACACTACCTAAATGCGCCAGAGCAGGGTGTCAGAGTCAGCCTGCATTCTACGGAGTACTCCGTACCTTTTCTCTTTCCTAGCGCACGCGCCTTTCAAGTTTCAGCCCGACCCCGGCCCCGTGTCATGTGTTATCGAGCAGGGGTTCAGTCCAGTAGTACTACTACTAAGAATAACTAGGAGAAATGCTACTCTGGCCCAAAGAGGCGTCCTATGCTGCCTTTCCGCCCCATCGATTGACCTGTCAGATATAGGGGCTATTGCCCAGAGAGGAGCGAACAGAACGGTGCATGATGGTCCATATAGTCCCGAAGACTATATGTCAGTGGCGTAATGGTTTGTTCGCTGGCTAGTGATCACGGGGCCTTTGATTCTTAGGGCTCAGGGCACAGTGACACGGCCAGGCAACACGGCCGGATCGAGACACGTCCGATCCGTGTGCGCGGAAGATGGGCCTGAAACGAGCTAGATCATTCTGGACGACCGGCTATCCATGACTTGCAGATAGACCGCTAGTAGATAACGAGTAATGATTACCACTGCTTCCAGATCGATACCTCGGCTACGCATGGATACATGCGGATTCTATCTTAATGCTCGCGGGGTATTGTATGAACCATCAAAAAAATAAAATAACTTTTCCCTCGTGCAGAATAAATCGCTGTAAGCCCTCATTGCCCTTACCAATGCCTTACGGTCACCAGCACCTGTTCTCTCGGGTCCAACTCCATCCCGACAGTTTTCCCCAGCCCCATTCGCATGAGGACCTGCCAGACAACCTTGCGCTTCAAGCCCTCGCGGACCGCGATCTTTTCGAGCGCATCGTGTCCATTGAAGTACTTGACGAATTTTGGCCAGTACTTCTTCAGTGAATCGTGGAGGCCAGAGTCTTCGGCCTCGTTTCCAGGACCGCTATGAGCAGATTCCGAGGTTTTGCCGGTTTCTGACCCTGGTCGATCGGGGAAGCGCGACATAATCTCATCCAGCCATCGGGACTCCAGGGGCGAAGCGCGATGCGGAAATAGAATGAGAGACGACATGTTGAGATGAGAGTTCCGGTCCATGTAAGAATCCGACAGATGGTATTGATCGTCGGAATCGCGACGGCCAGGGATCGGCGTGAGCTGGTCACTTCCCTGGCTGCCCAAGGACGAAGAAGACGAGCTCCCATCGTCGCCATCGTCGTCCCTCTCTTCTCGTCCCTCGTTTGATGAAGACGACATTGGTCTACCAGACGAGATGTACTTCTCCATCTGCTCTCTTCGCAGAGCCTGTTCCACCGCAATTTTAATTTCTGGAGTCACCTTGACCCTCGCAAACGTGCGAAGCTGGGTCACCCATCCGCCTCTCAGAAGCCACGCAAGGACGGCAAAATACGTCTCTTTGTGCTCCTTACTGGGGATGAAACTCGCATACGGGCGCGGAGTACCACTTAGCGCAGATAGCATCTTTGGCAGACTCGGAAGCGTGGGGAACGCTGCTGCGTAGGCTTCTGTCGCCGCAGACAGCTTGCTGAGATCGCAGTTTGGCGATACAATGTACGTATCGCGTTGGTGTAGCGGAGGTATCACGCGGGCACGTCTCCAATATACCAGATGGCTGGCCAGCAGCTGGATATTGGAGAGTGAAATACCTGAAATGGCAGAAATCTGAGCAAAAGATTTATTGGGCTTCGTACAGCGAATGTAGTGTGCGAGAGCAGGACCCAGGGCACCGCCAGAGGCTTCCACGTCTTTCAAAATTGTCGCTTCGTTGTCCAACAGGAGCAAACCAAAGTGCTTAGCCAAGACTTGATTGGGAGTTTCTAACCCGCTGGCTGCTGCATCATCCGCTGGACTGAGATTGTCCGCTGTCGTGAGCCAAAGGCCTGGATACGAAGGCTCCGTAGGGGATGGTAGGTGCGATATCGAGGTCAGCGGGGGGATTTGAAGAGAAATAGACACTTCCGGACTGAGCGAGACAGAGGCAATTTTGGAGGCCGATATGCTTGTGAAAATCGTGTAGATAGCTCTGGCGAGAGACGAATTCGCAATAAGCTCCGAGTAGAGACTATGGACAGACATCTCTGGTGACGTGGTAAGTCATTTTCATGTTGATTTGTCCGACAAGAATAAAAAAAGACGTACCTTTCTCTCGTGCTTTCTCCTTGATCTGTAAGATATTCTGGGCTTCCTTCCATACGTAATCTGTACGGGCTTGCTCCCATTTCAAGGCCTTGCCAAACTTTTTGATCACGTTTTCGTACATTTCTCTGATATTTATTGAGTATTCGAGAATCGGGGGATCCAGCACAAAGACAACATTGAACATCGTCATGGAGTCCTTGTCGGTATCAGAAGGTTCACTTGGCCCTCTGTTCGCACCGGCTCCAACATCGCCATTTGATTTCCCATCACCAGGCGCTCCTAACCTGGCCCCTGAAACATTCTCGTAGTCGTCATCGTCCTGAGCGGCCTCCGCATCGTCGCCCTGGCTATCTCCAAGGCGTTCTTCGTGTCCAAGCTCGCTTCCTTCCCATTCCCTTGGTTTCTTCTTTCTCCTCTTCTTTTGTTTCCTCCAAGTGCCATCATCACGCACAAACACGGGCCAGCCGACAAAAGCCAGGTCGTTGATGCCGACCTCGAAGCGCCTTTTATGCCAGGCGCGCGTCGGACTGAGCAGTTTCTCCCAGACGTCGGAGGGCAGCCCAAAGACCGAGTCCCAGGACGGACGAGAATTCCCTGCGGAGCCATTCCCATGTCCGTTGGCAGTCAAACCCGGACTGTCTTCCGGGTCAGAATTACCTCCCCGTTTCTTTGTCCGGCCGGAACTCAGGGACGGTGGCCGCTGTGACTCTCCGCCCACTGACGATGTCGTTCCGGAGACGTTATCCTCATTGCCCGAGTTGTTCTGCCGTCCTCCAGTCACACCACCTGCGAGATTGACTGGTTCGTCGTCTTCGTCAGAACTGGATTCGCTCTCTTCGCTCGAAGCGGAGTCGGTGCTTCTCGTTGCACGTCGGGCGTTGGCCCCGACGGCATTTTCGCTGAGCGGGTTGGGCGGGTAGTGGAAAACGAATCTGGGCCCCGCGCGAGAACTGACGATCAGGATGATGGCGACGAGACAAGGCTCCGGAGGGCGTGCGACCGAAGACATTGAAGTGAGATGAGCATGGTATCCGGAGAATTCTACGATGGTCAAAATATGCGGAGAGGAAGGTGCTACTAAGCGGCTGGAACCTGCAGGTCCAGATAAGCTAGCGCAGCTTCCCCGCGTTGAGCTTGCAGAGCTTGAGATCTGCGACCCGCAATACAGACGCAAAACAGAACAGCTTGAGAATTGTAGGAAAAGGGAAGATTATTACAGTGATTAGTTAGGAAAGACAAAATTCTAACACAATTGCAATTGTAGCTATATTTATTCATTTAATTCCCACTAGATACAGTACAAGCAGCAAAGCGGAGAAAAAAGACTCCCAACCAACGCCGACCATGCCTAGTAATTGCACGCATGCAAGAATCATCTGCCAATAGTATCACCTTAAATCCAGTATTCCACACTGTCTATCTACCCCTGCGACTTGGTCTCGTTCCCTTCGGGCCCTTTCGATGATGCTGCGGTTCCTTGCCTGTCTGATTCAAACTCCAGCCCAAGATTCTTGAACTCGTCGGGAGCCATTAGATTCCTACGCAGTTGACAAGTTAGCATCTGGGATGTTCTTTTAGGTTGTGTCATTCACAGGCTGACTATACGAGGGAGACGGTGGTGGGGACATCGGAGATTGATGGCTACTATGATTTTCTTTCCGATTCTCCCACTCCGCGACCACAGGGACCAGGGGGCAGGGGGAAATGAAAAGAGAGAGAATATGAACAGGGGGCAAAACACGTACTTCTCCATCCGACAACTCAAGTATCCCTTGGCCAACTTGCGACACTCTTCATCGTTGACGCCTTTTCGGGACTTCAAGCACTTCAGATAGTCGCCAATGAGGTGTTTGCACTCTCCTAGATTTCAAGTCGAGAAAATTAGAAATCTCTCAAACAAACGAGAGCAGCATATTATATCTCGATGAAGAGAAAATGGCGGTGGCAGCAAATCTGGGCGCAATTCGGGAGAGCAAACAGAATCAAATCGCATACCATCGTGATCAAGAGGGAAGCTACCGCGCTCAGGCCTGTTTAGATACGGAAAAAAGAAAGTAAAAAAAATCAGTTTCTATGTATTCTCTCTGGGAATAGTATCCCAGACCGAATAGTCCAGGCGCAACTTACGGGGTAGGCTTATAATTGATCGCAGCACCGCCTGGACTTCCGAAACTCATGGCCGCAGAGGACACACGCCAATGAACAGGGGCAAAGACGATCGCAATATTCAATGACAAGAGAGAAATACAACACTGATATCAGCTCAGAAACTCGCCGTCATCAGTGCGAGCTAATTGCTTAAACAACACCCATTCGTTTGCGCTTTGGTCCTCTGGCGTCGAAAACCGGCGGACAGCGGACGGACGTGATCCCGAGAAGCAAACAGTGCAAACCAGTCAAACAGCCCTGCTTCTCATTAGCTTACCTAACAGGTACTAGCTCCACTGCATCACCAGCAGCCGATGAGGTCACCCGCTCTGTTATCGTTCAGCTCCTCCGCCTGGTCTCACTGTCCATGCATTCATGACTGGCAGAGCACGTTTGCCATAGTTGCCGATTGGCTGATTGTGAATTCATGGGGTAAATCCTGTCGAGCAGCAGTGCATCCCTCGCATTCGATGCAAACAAACGACAGCAAATGAAATTGCTAGGCGGGGGAGAATCCTGCAGCGTGTGGACAATGTAGCTATATACAGGGCAGTAGGGCCAACCATACCAAGAGAATTTTGCATGGTCTAGTATCGGAACTGTGCACTCAGTGACTATCCGGACTGGAAGGCCCATTATCAGCTTCGAGCAGGGAGTTCCTGTGTTCGGATAGACACCGTAGAGTAGAGAGATATATGACGTCTCTACCCCTCCCTCTCCTTCCCGATATACCGATAAACTCCAATATTTTATTTCTTCAAGGCACATCTGCCTATAAGGATACTCTATACTCCATAGAAACTACGCGTAAAAGTCCTGCGCAAGTAAAGCATTGGCACCTCACATTCGTTCAAAAATGCCGATGTTAGTCCCCCCAATGTGCTAGCACTTTATTCATCGTAAATGAGAGACTATCGGACTAACCAGGTTAACTACTACGACAGGAAACTCGAAGGAAGCTGCCAGTGCGGCGGCGTCGAATTCGAACTCGAGTCCCACACGCCTGTGCCTTATCAGCTGTGCGCGTGCAGCATCTGTCGCAAAGTCGGTGGCTACAACGGGTGTGTGAATCTGGGCGGTATTGCCGACTCGCTCAAGATCAAGAAGGGGAAAGAGCTTATCAAGTGAGTATAGTGTTAATTATTACAATCCGGTCACGCCCCCAGAAAACCCACCTCTTCTAAATTATCTGCCTGGGTTTCTGTGGCGGGTCGGCGGTAAAAAAAAAATATTTTGATACGGAAGTCAGAGAGCTCATCAAAACTTGGTAGGAAATACACTGCCATCAAAGACCGCGGCAAGCCCAACCAGCAGCGGTGTTCCTCCGAAAGGAACTTTTGCTCCAACTGCAGCACCATGCTCTGGCTGTGGGATCACCACTGGCCCGAACTGATCCATCCGTTTTCGTCCGCCATCGACACCGAGCTCCCGGTGCCGGATGAGATGGTTTGCATCATGGCAGACTCCAAGCCCGCCTATGTGCGCTGGCCCGAGGGGAAGAAGAGTGTGCATGAGACGTACAACGAGGACAGTTTGGAAGAGTGGCATAAGAAGCATAATCTCTTTGTCAAATAAATTCTCGAATTACGAGGAAATACAGGAGTTAGGTTACAGTAATCAAGACCAAACTATTGCAGAATTCTAGATTGTCCATGACTCTTTATGACACAATATAGACAAGTGTAGTATCAATGAATTCAAACATTCTCATTGTTCCTAGTCTAAACCTGCGTGCTAATTCTAACAAGGACCCGTTAGCTCGGTATTCCTCATCGCGAAGTAAACAACACTGGGAGAGTGTTTCAACATCAGTTCCCCAAGGTGAATCAAGATTTTCTTCAACGTCAACACTCGGCAAGAACACAGCGAATTAAGAGTTCATCAGGAAGAAGACAGAAACACAAAGACTATGGAAGTGGGTGCACTTACATTATGAATAGATAATCAACTACAGCGGCTCTACGTTGTTGGCTCCTAGTATCGTTTCAGAGTCAGTCCAAGCGTTGAACAGGTATGTGTTCAGTGGTGCAATATTCAAGAACTCAAGGCATGTCATCTATATCAGGCTTTGAGCCTACGAGTTAGCCAACGGCACCGAGTTGACGGCAGCAATTCCACTTCCACGTACCTCATTAAATCAGAATTTTCAGTGTTGATTGTTCATCCTGGATGCAATGCATCCAGTCAAACAGTGTGAATAACGGTCATCATGTAATGGATGACAGCCAGATAAGGTGATATGCAATGGCGACGAAATGAAATGTGAAAAATTACCTAATCATTCCCCAGTCAGCAAATCTGATCCCCCGTCCGATGGATTGAAAATGCAGCATTGAAATGCGAGAATTAATCAGCTGACGAATTCTCAACAAGTTCTCCACCTCCCCGCATCCGCAAAGTTTGTACGGCTTTGCTTGTAATGGATGAGGGCAGATGAATACATTCTGTCCGCCCGTTCGTTCAAATTTTCCTCATGCTAGGAAAAGGGGAGGGGTCCGGTTGAAAGAGATAGTGCATTACCTGCAGATGACCAGTTAGCTCCAGTACAGACAACAAACTGTGAACGTAGATAATCGAATGTAGCCAACGCAGTGTCAGACAAGGCTGAAACTTGATTAATGACAGATTCCACATGGAACATTAAGTTTGAGGAATGCCTTTTGCATGTCATGGTGGTCATCACAAAGTGGAAGGGCAATGGTGAAGGCTTGAGAGCATACCTTTGAAGACTGTTTACTGGGCGGATTTAGTAGACACTAAGAGTACAGCAAACCTGCTAAGCAAATCCAGTCAGTAGCCGTTGAGGCGCGAAAAGCATGCACAGAGAGGACTATTGAACTGCATCAGGGTAATTCTAGAGCATTTTCCTTGGATGTCCTTCATAGCCATAGGATTTGGATTGTTCGAAGAAATTCATCACTTGAGCGAAGGACGTGGGGAAAAATTGAAGTCTGACATACCTCTTGTTTAGCTACGGAATATCGATAGGGTAGGTAACAAAAGGACTAATACAGTTAAAAGAAAAGGAAAGGAAAAAAGAAAAAGAAAGGAAGGATGAGAGCATCATCAACTCTCAATTCACATTTGTGTGGATGTCTGGTGGGAAAAAGATGGAGTGCGGGAAGCTACACAAATTTTATACGCGTATTTTTTCGCACTACGGGGGGCGCTTTCTACCACTCACGAAGTGAGACAGCCAATCTACAAAATGGGATTAGCGCCTGAAGCTTTATCATTCCTTATACTCCGTAGGTATCTTGATCCAGATACTTGAGGGTGTTCATTATATAAATACTGGAATCTGCATCTGGCAACATTTTGATAGAGAATTCTATAGTAATGTCCTATTTATTAGGACCATTCTTTCTATTACTGCTTTATGTGAATGTTGTACAGTACAACACAACCCTCGATCGACTTGCAAAATGCTGTACGCTTATTCGAGCTGCCCAGTTGCACAGCCTTCAGTCAAAGCCAGAAATTCCGCGGGGCTATGGCGGGGGAGCCGGCAGCAGATTGAGTGACATGACCCTGCTTGTTCTCCCACCACATAGTGTCGTTAGCCTTGGGAAGAAGAGAAAAGGATTGTCATGAGTCCAAGAGCATATCAGTCCTGCGGCCTTTGGTAGGCACGGCAGCTGTTGTACTACCAGGGTATGTATTATATATCAGAGGGATCGAAACTGCCTACGCAAGTCCTCTCTGGTGGTATACGGGGTTACGGACACTGCTCTGGATCATACTACAAGCTGGAATGTAAGGCCCTACGTCGTAGGGAATTGCATATTGGCGTGTCAGCCTTGTTCGCGGGGCAATTTAGGCTTTAGCTTCTCGCATGCCATACTGACCTACATATATATCGTGCTGCGTATATTCTTTGATTCGGTTTTGCCTTTCACCACGGACGGTTGACATCCGGTACCTGACTTTCAACAGAATTCTTCAACAGAATTTCTTCGAACGAAACGATGTGGAGGGGATTGATGACGGCCCGGCTAACCAGACCTTGGTCCCAGCCGACGACACCTCCAAGGCACCTCGGTGACGATGGAGAGACGGGCTTTAACACAGGTCTCTTTCCGACTATTCCAGGAGCATATCCAGATGAAATCTACGAGCTTGCTGCAACAGAATGCTTGGAAGAGGTCCACGAGTTACCGGACACATCTGTATCAGAAATGCCTGATACCTCATCACCAAGCCCGAGGATACCAGTTCATCCTCAGCCTTGTTTCGAAAGTTGCCCATTCCTAGACGACGATTCTGATATAACGCGTCCGAAACAAGAAAAGTCCAGCAAGGTCATTCCTGAGCCCGCCGCTGACAGATTACAAGATTCCATGTCCATCTCACCTTCAAAGCCAACTTTAATTGCTGTTTTTGGGATGCCTGGAACAGGAAAGTCTTCCTTTATCGGGAAGGTGACTGGAACAGAGGTCAAAATTGGCCATGGACTACATTCCTGTAGGTACCACCGTACTTTTGACATGTCCCTGTGCTTGAGACATTTGACTGAACGGTTCCTTACCCATGGCAGGTACGTTTGAGATCCAAGAAGTGCCATGTCGAATTGGCGACCGTGACGTTACCCTGGTAGACACACCGGGCTTTGGTGATACGGAACGTTCCGAGGCGGAGATATTACAGCGGATAGCATCTTGGTTGATGGACAGGTACGAAGAAAACACATATCTGACTGGAGTGATCTATCTTCATCGGATCTCGGATCCTCGAATGACCGAATCATCACTGAGAAACCTGACTATGCTGCGCAAGTTGTGCGGCACGCGGCATCTGTCTCATGTCATTCTGGCAACGACCATGTGGGATAAAGTCAGCGAGGAGGAGGGATCCCGTAGAGAAGCCGAATTGGTCGCGGAGGGGAAGTGGTGGGGAGATATGCAGCAGCGAGGCGCCATTGTTCGACGATATGACAATACAAAGAAGGGTGCAACTGCCTTGGTGAAGGAGCTAATAGGAATACAGCCCTTTTTGCTGGAGATCCAGAGAGAGATAGGGGTTGAAAAGAAGAGTCTGATCGACACGGCGGCTGGAAAGTCCGTTCTAAAGACTCTGAACGATATTCAAAAGCAGCATGAAGAGGACCTCAGACTGGTCAAAGAGGAGATGCAGCTAGCCTTGCAAAAGAGTGAGCAGTCTCGTAACCTATTTATTTTATCATTCCCCTGGCTGGAGAGGGAAAATGAGATACGCTGACAAGCGCTATTATGCAGATGACGCCGAGTGGCAGAGGCGAATTGCTGCAATGCAAAAACTTGAGAGGAAGATCAAAAAGCATGAGCGGGATAGGAAGGTTCTTCGTACACCGATCAGTAAGGGGGCCTTGTGGCTGCTGACCTGAAATGCGGAAGACAATGGACCAAAGATCGGGGCCACACTGCTCATGCGCCCAGTGCGGGCATTATCAAGTGATGCTTTTCTGGGGGTAACCCTTCTTTATTTTTCCCCTTTGATAGGGACTCAATAGTCCCTTTGCATTTTCCGCAGTACCAGTAAGTTTCCTGGACATTATGCGGAATTGCGAGTGCCAGTTGAAGGTGGAATTAGAGATGCTCTTCCAAAAGAATGAATCAATATCTGTCGAGGCAAATGAAGACTGAAATGAATGTAGTATTACCATCAAATCATATTGGGCAAATATCCAAGTCCAACTGCAGACTCAGGCACTGACCACCCGGAATGTATAGGAGATGTGAAAGGCCAAAAAAAAGAAGCTCATCGACATCCATGAATTGATGTAGTTACTTCCCTGTCCGACCAAGGATCGGGTCCCGATGAACGAACCGGCCGTTCTGCTTTATCTGATCATAAAAATTGCGAGCCCAATACAGATGCTTGCTGTCGCCCAGCTCTGTAAACAGCTTCAGCGACATCTCCTGGTCGGCCAAATTCTCCGAATGGTTGAAAGGGGAGTACATGTAGCGTCGCTGGATCGTGGGCAGGTGTTTGTCCCAGCCTTTGTCGACGGCGTACCGGGCCACCGCGATAGCCTTGCTGTCCGTGGCGTAGGCCTGGGGGGTACCGCGGAAGATGTTTCGGGGAACCTGGTCCAGGAGGATGATCAGGGCCAGGGCGCCTTCGCCGTCGCCCGCTTGGATCCAATCGTCGTATTTCCCGTTCTTGGCTGCCTCGTAGTCATTGGCGAAGACACGGCGCAGATGCTCGTCGTCGGCTGGGCTGCCGTACCAGAAGGATTTCTCTTTCAGGTAGTCTCGGGAGCCTTTGCGTCCGAACCAGAAGTCTAAGACTCGCTTGTATCCCTGTGCAGACATATTGATCTGATCTCTGGTGGAGAGGTATTACGAAACAGGCCTTGTTTTTTCAGTGATTGCAGCAGTGTCTGTATCTTCGCCATTTCTGGAATTCTCATGCCAGAAGAGCAGAGGAGGACGATGACGTCGGTTGGCTGCGAGTGATCTGGACTAAGCGAGTCTGATTGGCCGCTGATTAGCGGCGGAGACGGGCAGAATCCCTCAGGCTAGTCTGGTTAAGGTTTAGCGTGAATATATCCAACAGGTCGTTCCTTCCTTTCTGGGTAGGTGCTAACTGTACAAACACTTCCAAGGAAACTGCTTTTAGCTTTGTTTTCTCATCTACTGGAAGGTGTTATTGATGCAGCCATGATGAACCGCTATGCATGCTACTATGCGAATGATCTCGCCGTTATGGGCAGGAGACTTGACTCCGATGACAGTTCTCCATGCATAAGCGGGGTTTCCAGCCTATCTGTTCAAGTGACATCAGGACCTACCTAAGTTCTCTTAGGTACCTAGCTTGCATGACTGTCCAAACCGGGATAATGCTTTACCACTGCATGTCTGGGTATGTGACTATTACTGCATGATGCCGGATTGAGAAGAACCGTTGGCAGCATATGCTTTCCAAAGCATTGTCCTTGTCCAGACTGGACATACTTAAATTGGCTGGGCTGTCTTGTCTCCAGCTGCTTGACCAGTTGGATTATCGCATGAACTGCAAAAATACAGCAAATTTCTTTCTGATTGACATAGCAGGACTGACGCTAGTTTCTCCACTCGAACCAGTGCATATATACGATCATCATGGCAGACTTCAATATTCGAGGGAAACGGATCATTGTGACCGGTGGATCCCGTGGCATAGGGGCTGCCGCCACGCGCTTCCTCGCCAGCCAGGGTGCTCGTGTGGTTATCTTCGACATTAGAGATGACCTTGGAAAGGCTGTTGCCGAAGATGCATCCGCCAGATTTTCCACCCAGGTCAGCTACCTGCCCGTCGACGTTTCCAAGAGAAAAGAGACCGTGGATGGTGTCGATGCTGCGGTGAAGATTCTGGGCGGCTTGGACGGTTTGATTAGTGCAGCTGGGATTTTACGTCCATGTCCGGCAGAGAACATCAGCGAAGCAGATCTGGACCAGATATTGGATGTCAATCTCAAAGGAACCATCTACATGAACCAAGCAGTCTTCCCTTACCTCAGAGACAACAACAACAACGCCGGAGGCACCATTGTCAACATCGGGTCCGACGCGGGTTTGGATCCCGTTGTTAACCAGGCACATTACGCCGCGTCCAAGGGAGGCGTGCATAGCTACACTCGCACAGTCGCATACGAGTGGGCGAAATATAAGATCCGTGTCAATGCAGTCGTGCCGGCGATGCGCACAGACATGGTCAATGACTTGTTGCAAGTGGTCCCCGAGGAGAAGCGCAAGGAGGCGCTCGAAGAGCTTGAGAAGTGGCTAGCAACCAAGATACCTCTCGGTGGCAGGCTCGGTGATCCCGATCTGGACTTGGCTCCTGTCCTGGCTTTCCTTGTGTCGGACTCTTCTCGTTTCGTTACCGGTCAGCTGGTTCCCGTCAACGGGGGTATGGGGTACGTGCGTTGAAGCGATGGATTCCCTGCCATGGGTACAGGAATAAGCTGTCAACAAACATGGCAGTTAGCATCAGGTTACTTTCACAACAACATATCTGATCTGACCTTAACACATACGTCCCGGATAAAAAGCTTATTAATAAGTTGCATGTGTACCCTGAATCGAATGTGTCTCACGAAGACGTCATAACAGTGGCTTTCCAATTGCTGAACCGCATGGGTCCTCATCACAATGCGTCAATTTGACGTCGATCGAACTATCACAATGGATTCAATTAAAATTAGGGCAGGGCAGATATAAGATCATGATCCATGATCCCTTGTGCGTTCTAACATCGATACTCAAAGAAAAAACCCCCCTGACTCGTTGGTTCTATTCTAAATCAAGTTTCGATAAATACCTAGTCCCATCATGGCCAACCTAACGAGAATTAAGCTTAATACCGGAGTTGAAATTCAGGCTCTCGGTTTTGGCACCTGGCAAGACGAGCACGCCCAAGAAGAAGCCGTTCTAGAAGCGATCAAAGCGGGATATCGCCACATCGATACGGCTAGAGTGTGAGTGAGAAGCAGAGGACCCTTGATGTAGGAATATATATGCTCATTTTTTTGGATGAAGATATGGAACCGAGAAAGCGGTTGGAAAAGCCCTCGTAAGAGCCATTAAAGAGTTAGGGGTGCCTCGCCATGAGCTCTTCGTGACAACCAAGCTGTGGAACAACAAGCACCATCCGGATGACGTTGAGCAAGGCCTCCAGGATTCGCTCAATGATCTGCAACTGGACTATATCGACCTCTTCCTGATGCATTATCCAATAGCCTGGAAGCGCGGAGATGCTTTCTTCCCCGTGGAGAATGGGAGACCGGCTTTGATAGACATTGACTACGTGGACGTACGTTGAATCGAGTTATGCGTGATCGCCTGATATCTATATACTCGAATCAAGTCGATTCTAACCGGTTGGCAGACGTACAAAGCCATGGAAAAGCTGCTCGAGACCGGAAAGGCCAAAGCCATTGGAGTCTCCAACTTCTCCAAGGCAGAGATGGAGCGGTTGCTCCAGAACACGACGGTGGTGCCAGCGACGCATCAGTTCGAACTGCACCCATGGTTGCAGCAGAAATCCTTCGTTGAATGGCACCGGTCCAAGGGGATCCATGTCACCCAGTACTCGCCGTTCGGCAACCAGAACGCGTTCTACCGCGGACCCCAGCACATCGGCAAGCTCATTGATGATCCTGTACTGAACGAAATCGGCAAGAAGTACGGGAAGAATGGCGCACAAGTCGCTCTTGGTAAGTAGTGCCCTGTCTTGGCAAGTCAATCACCGGCTTACGGTGCCTCTTGTTCCAGCGTGGGGGATAACCCAAGGCCACTCGGTGCTTTGCAAGTCCAAGACGCCATCGAGGATCCGAAGCAACCTGGAGGGGGATTTCAGACTCAGTCCGGAAGACATGAAGAAGATCGAATCCATTGACAAGAAGCTGCGGTTCAACGACAGCAGCACGGACTTTGGCTACAATCTCTTTGCAGATCTGGATGGGAAAGGGGAGGTATTTGCTATGTAGCATACGGATTTCCCTTTTTGTCTGAATGGAGAAGTTCAGCTGTCAGCTGACGCTAGGGGGTAATTTCCTTTCGTAACCAACAAGACATCATGATGTAGAGAGCAAAGCCACATGGCTGAGGATTGCAAACACATCATCCGATGCTCAGGTGTGGATGTCATTCAGTAATCATTCAGCAATCATGGTGGCTCATGAGACCGGACAGCAGGTCGCGTGTTCAGACAGTACGTCACGAGTCTTGTAGGGGAATTCCTAAGGAACGCGACGAGAGCTATAATTGGAATGAGCAGAATAGAATTCGATCGTCAACTCAGCCACATTCTTATCGCCGAGCTATCTCGGTACCTAGGTAGGAAACTCGAGCTGGAAGAACAAATGACTGCAGCCCGATTTCTAATCGCCTGCGGACGTAAGTCATCGTGGCTGGCTTTTACTTTATTTAATTCAGCTCAATCCGAGGCCGATTTAAGATCCCGACAAGCTTCGCGCGTCTTGCCCAAACAGGGCTAAGCCTGGCGCATGGATCCCCCGCGGTTCTCGATTCTTCTCGCCCGGGATCCAGTCGCCTTTCGCAGGACTGGCGGCGTCCACGTAAGGCGGCCCCTGCTGAGTCCGTGACCATGGGTCATGGCGCGTAGTTTTATTAGTAGCAGGAGGAGCTGTTACACCGAGTGTAGCACAGTAGCAACAATATTTTGCTTCCAGGTTCCTGCTTTTTTGTCCGACGAGGAACGAGAGTGGTGGTGGGACGGACTGTGTTGCTATTGTTGTTCTTCTCTGCACATGATCTATTCCCTTCTGTAGAACTCATCCTCAACACCCTCGCCTTTCTCCCGTCTGCTCTGGAGTACTGCGGTCTCGTCCTGCGATCTTGAACCAGGCGCCTTCTGTCATTCGTTCTTCACGCTTTTCTGCTGTCTAATATGTAAATCTGTCTCTTCAGCATTGAACAAAACACGACGGCTTCGCGAAAATGAGCTCTTCTGTGGCCCTGCGCGACGCCGCAGTTCGCATCTCGAAGCTGCTGGTGCTGTCGTACATTATCGATTGGATCCTCATCATGTGCGTATACCCAGCAACTCGTTTTTCCCTGTCAGGTTCAATTGACTAAAAGTTCAATCTTCCTGCAGTGGTGTCGCTGCAATAGGAGCCGGGTTCAGCAAGGTCCAGGGCAACCAGAACCCGTTTTCCCTCACCGACTTGAGCATCTCCTATCCGTACGATCTCCATGAAACCGTGTCGACTTCCACCTTGGTGCTGGTCTCCCTGGTGGCTCCCGCAGCGCTCGTGGTGATCCTCACCTTCTTCTTCGTCCCCAGTCCCACCGCCCTCAGGGGCGCGCCCTGGGCGCTCATCTGGCGGCGCAAGATCTGGGAATGGAACGCAGGCTGGATGGGACTGGGCGTCGCTCTGGCCGGGGTGTTCGTCGCGACTGAAGGGCTGAAGGATCTGATGGGAAAGCCCAGACCAGATTTCCTCGCGCGCTGCGACCCGGATGTATCGAAGATTGCGACCTACGCTGTCAGCGGACTGGGAAAGCAGGTCGCGGGCGCTCCAACGCTGGTGACCTGGGAGATCTGCCGGAATCAAGGTTATGATGTCAAGGTCGACGGGTTTGCAAGCTTCCCCAGTGGCCATTCCTCGTGTAAGTATACCTGCGGTCTCTTATATCCTTCCTCTACGTATATTATTATCTGATACTGACGGATCTCAAACAGTCTCTTTTGCCGGCATGACCTACCTGACTCTGTGGCTTTGCGCCAAATTCTCCATCTCTTTCCCATATCTAGGTCCTCGTCCATATGCTTCCAGCTTGCCTGCTGCCGCCATCGCCTCAGGGGCTGACCATGAGGACACGAATTTCGAAAATTCCAAACGGGTTCCGGAGCAGCCCACCTCGTCGTCACCACCATCGTCATCGTCATCGCCCTCAGCCATCTCCCTACGGAGCCAAGGCGCTGCTCCCCCAGTCTATCTCCAGATCATTGCATTCGTGCCGTTGTGCGTCGCAGCCTTCATCGCCTCTTCCCGCTGGTTCAACCACCGCCACCACGGATTCGACATCCTTTTCGGTTGTGCGCTGGGTATCCTGTTCGGCTGGGTCGGCTTCCGTCTGTACCACGTACCGATCCAACGCAGTGACGGCTGGGCGTGGGCCGCCAGGAGCCGTGGACACGCGTTCATCAGGGGGATCAGCTTCACCGATCTGGTCAGCGCAGAAGGCTGGGCCAGCAACACGCCAGCTTCAAGGGTACAAGTCCATGGTGACGATGGTCTTCGTCAGGACGTTTGACCTAGAGCGTTGATGGACGTAGGCCTGGGTTGGTCTTGATGTGATGGCGAGTTTGACTTCTTTTGGAAGTCTCATTATCGGCAGCTTTTATAAGCTTATATCTTGTTATGGATCTGATTAGTGATAATATAATAGGGCATATACGTCCATGAGGGAAGGGAAGAGTGAAAGAAACACAAAAAGGGGTAATTACAAAACTACCTATTTTGATATTATGATCGCATTCAACTCAAGAATTTGTATTTAATAAGATAATGAGATGAGACAAGACAGATACCACGCATATCTATATTTTATTATATTAGCTATATACAAAAGTCAAACCAGGTTGAACCGCAGACGTAGGTATCTCAGTGACCTGAATGAAAAAAAAAAATGAGATAGACCTTCTCCAATCCGGAACGCCGTTGCTCGTGCATCCTTCAGAGAACATAGAACAAACCAATATATTGTAATGCCCACTTTAGCGTAAAATAGCATGGCAATTCAGCGCCGTGCTATATGAAATGCGAAAAAAAAAAAGAAAAAAAGAGACAGAAAGGGTGGATTCTGCAAAACACGCAGGTGGCCACGACAGACAAGCACTGCTATCTCCAACCACCAACCCTCCCCTCGTCCCATCTCGCCCTGGCCTCTCTCCGCGCCTCGAGCTTCGCAGCCTCCGTTCGGACCCTCCGGACCCAATCCGCCACTTCGCGATCACTCGCCCGCCCCTGCTGATGGTCTCCTTCCAGGAAACTCTCCTCGACAGCATGACAGACGGCCTCCTGCTCCGCGACTGCAGCGGAGAGACGCTGATACAGCGCCTTCGGTGACCACGGCGCCAGCGCAGCATCCATTTCGGCCTGCTTTTTGCGCCAGGACACCTCGAGAGACTGGTGCGTCAGGAGGAGCGACTCCGTCGACGCGCGCAGGTTCGCGACGCGCGACTCGAGGTCCAGCACGTGCCGGGCGAGAGCCTTGTTCGATTCGAGAAGGGACTGCAGATGCTGCTGCCAGGCGGCGTAGGATGGGTGGAGGGTCGACAGGGCGGAAATGAGGGACGGGTTCGACAAGACGGATTGTAACTCGACGGTTCTGTTTTCGTGTTCAGTAACATATTAGCCATTGTGAAGTCCAGAGAACGTGAAGGAAAGAAGGAAAACAGGGTCCATACGATTTATCCTTCACGATATCCGGCAGCCATTCGTCCTCGATGCTTGGAGGCTCAGGCAGTGGGGCTTGCTGGCCATCGGGGCTGTAGTATGAAGGATTCTGATTCTTCTCCGCATCAGTCACCGCATTCGCTCCGGAAGACTGGTCTCGCAGGTCGGACTGATATTCCTGAGACTGTGTTGGCTGAGGTCGTGGCAGTGGAGTGCCCCCTCGGCTGGCTTCATGACTGCTGGGTTTCGGTGGAGGCGGCGGAGGAGTATCGGAGTCGAGGACAGGACTCCGGATCGGCGCAGCTCCAGCTCCCAAATACGTCGACGGGCGAGGGGAATATGAATTCGGGGCTGACGCCATGGTCGACAGAAGAAATCCCCGCCCTGGCCAGCGCGGAGGTGAAACGTAGGCTACGATCGTAAGTTGTGGGGTATACAATCGCCGCTGCTGTTGAGGGGATTCTGCCGCGCAACACCGCCTATCTATATAGAATTCATTTGATTGACAAGCATACAAGCATGTGCTTTATAGCAAGAACATGGTACGTACGAAGATAGCACTGGGACTTCCTCGACGCTGCCGAGACCATATTGGATAACCAAGGCACTGTATGCTAAAGCACAGACGTCTACGAGGTGTATCATGTGTCTTTGATTGCATTAGAATGTCTTCACCTGCTCATCATGCTCTCAGGTAAGGAATGTCGAGGCTGGAATACTGTACATCCCTGGGCGGATAGAGTGTCTAGAAGACATTCCAATCCTGCTAGAAAGTGTCATGAGTACATGTATCTATGACCTTTGCAGGTCATCAAGGAAGCACCGTTCAACATGGCAAAATTGCCTCCAACATTCCTATCCGAAGTCCGCAGGACTATATAGTGTGCTAGTCCCTTCCTGGACGTTATCGAGACCACTTGCTGAGGTCTCCGAAAGAGACCAACCTTTCGTTCGGTGCTGGAAGACGGTGGACTGATCTCCAGCAAAAGACGTCACGTCACATCTTTCGTCCTGAATAGCACTACTGTGCAGAGAGCGGTTCGAATATCTGATTTCCAGCAGATCCATCACTCTATTCTCCGACGGACATCTCTCTCCTGTGTCTCAGCACCGATACCCCTGATGGCATCTGCGACCAGCGCCCGGAGTTCGCTTTGTCCCGCTTCGCTGTGGAAATCCTCCCTAGCAGCCAGTTCATCAATCCTCCTCTTGAACTCAGGGTCGACCTCGCCAATGCCTTCGCTCGCTTCCTGTTCCGTCATAGTCCCAATGTTCACACTGATATTCGGGGGCAGAGGTGGAGGCGCGTCTATGTCTCTGATGGGCTGTTCGACTGTTTCGGACGCAGACGCTCCAGTCACTTCCCTGAGATAGGCCGCGACCGCTGGAAAGGAGCCATCGCTTTCGATGGTCTCCTGCGCCGTCAATCCTTCGTCATTTTTCCTTTTGGCATCGATGCCCAGCTCCTCCACCAGGCACTTTGCGATTTCCAGACTTTCGGCCACGAATAGGCAGGTTTCGCCGTCTTCATCGGTCAAGTTCACGTCGACGTTGAACTCTTTCACGAGGGCGCGGAGGAGGTCAATATGCCCGTACGAGGCGGCGGCGTGGAGAAGGGAGTACCCATGCTCGTCCTGGCAGGACGCCTGAGAGGGGTTTGCGCGAAGAAACGTCAGAAGGGCCGACGGGTTGTCTGCCGCGAGGATGTATGGGTTTGGTTGAGTCATTGTTGCGAGAATTGGAAGCAGGCCTTTCAGCTGCGACTGTTTGGCCTGTGTGAGTCAGGTACAAAGCAGCTGGATGCGGCTCAGGCGTGCTAAATCTTCATCCAGCCAGTAGGCCGCCTAACGCGGCGTTGGCGGGGTGTCGGCGGGACACAAAAAAAAAGCTCCGCAGTCACGGCGTGCCTGACCCAATAGTGGCGGGGAACCTGGGTGCCTGTACAATGAATAATAATTACTCGTATTTGACTCGGAACAAAAAATCATAGGTGAATCAGCTGGAGACCACGGTCTTGGTCTGTGTGTCAGAGTATAAAAGCAGGCGAGATCCATGGTTGCTTCCGTATCTGGGTGCGCCTGCTCAGAAGTTTTACATCATCGCCTTCGCTTTTCCGCATCTCCTCCCTCCACCCGTTTCTCCCAGCCTTCATCGTCCTGAAACCCCATAAGTCCTCATAATATCAACCACAGTCTTGCCACGATGGTGCAGCAAGATCCTCACGAAGTCCGTCAACTCGTCAACAGTCTAGAAGCTGCCAGCCAAAAAGGTGGCGGGAAGCCGGGCAAGAAGAGCTTCCGCTGTAAGAAATCCACCTTCGCTGTGGCTGGCTCAGATAACATCTATGTGGACTCATGGCGGTTCATGGACTGGGAGTATAAAAGGGATGACCTCCCAACTTATGCCCGTGGACTGTTTACTACCGTAACAAAGGATGGGACGCCCGAGATTGCCATCCGTGGCTATGATAAGTTCTTCAACGTCGACGAGGTCAGCGAGACCAAGTGGCGCAACATCGAAGCCAACACGCGCGGCCCCTATGAACTCAGCGTCAAAGAGAATGGCTGTATTATCTTCATGTCCGGTCTCGAAGACGGAACTCTGCTGGTCTGCAGCAAGCACTCCACCGGAGGGCGACAGGATACCCCTCTGAGCCATGCACAAGCCGGAGAGCGATGGGTCGAAAGGCATCTGAACGCAATCGGCAAGACGGTGAAGGAGCTGGCGAAGGAGCTACGGAGCATGAATGCTACAGCCGTCGGAGAGCTCTGTGACGATTCGTTTGAAGAGCACGTGCTCGCCTACGACGAGAATGCCGCCGGGATTTATCTTCACGGAATCAACTATAATGTGCCGGAATTCGCGACCTTGCCGAGCGCAGAGGTTCACAAGTTTGCCGACGCTTGGGGTTTTAAGAAGGCGCAGTATGTCGTCCTGGATGACCTGGAATCGGTGAAGCAGTTCTTGGAGAAATGCGCCGAAACTGGATCATGGAATGGCCGAGAAACGGAAGGGTTCGTCATCCGGTGCAAGATGAAGGGGCCAGACAAGACATATCGGGACTGGTTTTTCAAATACAAGTTCGAGGAGCCCTATCTGATGTACAGACAATGGCGGGAAGCGACGAAAGCAGTGATCGCCGGGAGACTGCCCAAGATCAAGAAACACAAGAAAATCACCGAGGAATACTTGCTGTATGCGCGGAGACAACTGGCCAAGGACCCGAAGATTGGCAAGCTTTACAATCAGAACCATGGAATCATCGCTATGCGAGAAGGGTTCTTGCGGGAGCGAGGTCTGAAAGGGTCCGACATCATCGCATTGGAGAACGAAGGCAAACTGGAGGGGGGAGATGCCCGCAAAGCAGTCACTCGGAACGTGATTTTGGTTCCCATTGCTTCCATCGGATGTGGAAAGACAACTGTCTCTCTCGCGTTAGCGAAGCTGTTCGGCTGGGGCCATATCCAAAATGACAACTTGGCGAAGCAGAAGAATCGGCCGAAGAAGTTTGCTCTAGAGGTGACCAATTCTCTTGGAGAGAAGCCAGTGGTGATAGCGGATCGAAACAACCATCAGCGGCGTGAAAGAAAACAGCTCATGGATGATGTCATGCCTGTCGTTCCTGAGGCACGATTTGTGGCTCTCCAATACGTGCACGAGCCTAAAGGAGTGCTGCTAGATGACATCAGGGAGATCACAAGGAAGCGGGTCCTGGATAGGGGTGACAACCACCAGACTATCCGGGCTGGCACTAAGAGCTCCGAAGAGATTATCGGGATCATGGAAGGCTTCCTAGAGAGATTTGAAGCCATCGATACAGAACGAGATCCAGACGACAATTTCGATGAAGTGATCGATCTGGAGGTTGGGGCTTCATCCCGCGAAAATCTCGAGATTATTGTTAAAAAATTGCACTCGTGTTATCCGAAAATCGTCGAGCGCATTCCTACTTCTGAAGACATGGACGCTGCCATAGAATCGGCGTTGCACGACTACCACGTCGACATGGATCTGAGTTGGCCCTCTGGCAAGCAGAATACAAAGGAGAAGAAGAATCAGCAGAAGAATGGCTCACCTGGCCCGCAGACCCAGGATCCAGAGACGCTGGTGAAGAAGATCGAGTACATCGGCATTACATTGCCAACGTCTCAGGTAAACGATATTCTTACCTCTCTTTTCCCGCCATCTACGCCACCCACCCGGGCGAAACTGTATCACCATCTCGTCAATACACGACGTGTGCAGCCCTCATTTCATGTCACCTTGATCCATCGCGCTCTCCGCGAAGAATGCCCCGACATCTGGAAGCAGTACACGGATCTGTACGTGCAACGAATGCGGGAGAAGGACCCATCCGATCAAACAACGACGCCGCCACTGGCTTCTGCCCGCGTGCGGGTTGAGCGTCTGGTCTGGGACGAGAGGATCATGGCGTTTGTGGTGCGGATCATGCCTGGTCCTGACAGTCCGGACGGGGCTGCCCCGTGGCCGTGTGCCAACGCTATCCCTCACATCACCGTCGGCACGGCGTCACCAGAAATCAAGCCCAAGGAAAGCAACGACCTGTTGCGGCGGTGGTTGGAAGACGGATCGGGAGACGGAACTGGCATCTGGGAGTCGGAGGTTCCGGGCGTGAAAGTGCTAGAGGGTACTATTACACCGGTGATGAGCCGGGGGAAGTAAGAAGTAGTAACCATAGGTAGAGCATTTTACCCTAATCGAGAGATAATGAGGAGGAACTACTTCCTTCCCATGTATGTACGACGAAAATTAAAAATTAAAAAAAAAGAAAAACATTGCAGATGAGAACTGTGTGGACATAAGTAACGTATCCATCTCAAGAAAAAAAAAAGTCACTCTCACTCTGTAGCAAATATCTACCTAATTATCTAGGTATCAATCAATCAATCAAGAATCAAAAAAATCAATTCAATTAGTTAGTCAGTCTATTGAGGATGCAGATGCAGCTGGTATTTCTTTTCCCCTCTTTTCCACATATATATCTACTATATTTATTTGTATTATCTCAATGTATGTATGTACTTGCTGTATTGTACTCTGCTGTGCTGTACTATACTGTACTGTCTTTCGTATACATACGTACGGAGTATATATATATGTACTGTATATTTATTTTATAGGACTTTTCTACTATCTGGAAATTCGAGTGTACAGGCCCAATGCATCCCAAAAATGATGTGTGACTACCCCTTCAACTGTTCATCCAAGCAGTGACTCGTTGGGCGCCGAATCGTCCCACGTACTGTAGGCCGGTGCTGCCCATGGGGAAGTAGCTGACGAGGTACCAGATGAGGGCGACGAGTTGGAAGATGGAGGAGATCAGGGTCAGGAGGAGAGAGCGGAGCTGCGCGGATGCAGATGATGGTTAGCAAATATTTCTCTCCTAGGCTGTAAGAAAAAAATCTTGGCTGTCTGCACCGTAGTGCAACACAGGGGAGATATAATGAAGTGGATGGAAGAGAATGGAAAGATGCACTGCAACCCCCGGTTTACGATTAAGAAACCTGACCAGGGATAGAGTAGCTGCATGTTGCTGAAGTAGGCTCTGCAGCGTGTGGTAGGTGGAGCTAAAGGCCGGATGAGGCGCTAAAGACCGAAGTGTAGGGTCAGGTGGAAGGCTAAGATATCCGCAAAGATAGCTGGATATGCGCGGATCGTATAGAAAATGCGTGCGTGGGTTGCGATGGAAAATGTTGGCAAAAAAAAAAAGATATTCAAAGCACTTACCCCGATGGCAAAGTATAGCGTCAATGCAATAGATCCAAAATAGGAGGCAGTAAATGGGAGTCGCGGCGGCGACAGTAGGTGTCGAGCATAGGTGAAAGGCCCCATGAGGACGGCCCATGATGCCAAAAACAGGATTGAGCCCACTGACCATCTAGAACCGTTACGTCAGCTCTCAGCCTTGGTGGATGAATGGGAAGTGGAATCCAGGCAGGATGACGAAGGTGCATGGAATGGAAGAAGATATCGTGAATGGGTTGCCTGCGGACATGTGTTCCAAGCCACACAAGTCGGGCGTGAGAAAGCATCGACCAGCGATGGTGGCTACCAGAAGAACATGACGCAAAAGGCTGCATGCATGTACGGGAGACGCAGAGACAAAAAGACTGGCAGGGATTCAAACAAGATCGACGAAGCCGAACACTTACAAGATGGCGAATTTTCGGGGCCTCAGCGTCAAGGCAGGGAATAGGATAAAGCACATCAAGAAACAGACAGCCGCTCCAACATTACATCCGGCGAAGATAAGCATCCGATCCCATCGGCTCACTGTAGAGGCAAAGCACAATTAGCAACTGCGCCGGATTCTCCTACTGGAGCGACAAGCATCTGGCTGTTGTCAAAAAGGCCGGATAATGCTCCTCTAATGCGTGTGAAAGCCCGCAAGACGCAGGAACTGGTGGGTTGTCACCCGAGCTGCAGCGGACCAACCCACTTCTCCGAAGCGTCTCAACCGACTAGGTCACGAGCCCGGGTGGGGGAAGACGGGGGAAAGGCGATGAACTCACAGGAAAAGAAGCTCTCCTCTTCCTCCCGTCTAGTCGCAGCAGCGGGAGTCTCGTGAGTGGGTAGTCGCACATATCCTTCGCCACTGCCAAAAGGGTTCAAAGACCGTAATCTCGAGAGAATTGGTGTCGACGAATTGGTCCGCACTGGGATATCTGGGTCCCTCCGCGACCAGCCCAGCGAATTCATCGATTCGCGAAAAGAGCGGGATGCCATGCTTGTTGGCCGTCGATCGCCTTCCTCCTGCTGGTCGATGTTATCTGGGAGCGTCTGTTGATATCGAGAGAGGGCGCGGATCGACCCTTAGCCAGGCCTCGCCGGAGTCGCGAATGTGAGATGACGCTAAGAGAAGAATGAAGCGAGACCGAGCAAGGCAATGGTACAGAGTACAGCGGAAGCCAAGTCTGCCGGGAGCAGATGATCTACAGTCAACGGTAGTGGGTGTGTACTAGTGGCAATGATCAAGGCAAGCGGACCAGGTGACAGTGCCCAAGGCGATTAGCTCCCCGACAACGTTTGGGGAGAGATGAAGCTCTCCAGCCCAGGAGAGTGGTATCAGTCTGTAGAGGGGAGGGGCCACTGCCGACTGTCCAGGGCTCTAACGCGAGATACGAGGGGAAAGGGGATTGGACGGCTGAATCATGCGGAGGAAGATACGAGGCCTGGCAAGCACCACGTCGGAAGCACGCGATGCGGGCAGGAAATGGCTGATCGACGCAGGGAGCTAGCTTTGCAGCGATAGCGACGGAGCAGTCTGTCGAGCGATATCTGCCTGGGGAGGTGCGACGCGGGCCGATCGGTGGCAGAAGCCGAGAACTGGAATGGAATCCAGAGAAGTTGGCAGGAGGAGGTGGGGAAGGAGGGCTCGCAGGCCTGACTGCTAAGGCGGGCTCTGTCAGATGACACGTCCATCAAGACCGGAAAACAGCAGGCGCATGGAGGTGTCTCACGGCTAGACCAGATATCGGACGCGGATGGAAGCTGCGACTCTTAGCCGGTCGCGAGGAGGGCGACTACCTTAGGTAAGCGCGAGGTTGCGGAGGGCAGGAAGGAGGGCACTCCGGGGAGGACGATAAGATAGAAGGAAGGAGGTGGAGGTGGAGCAGAGCAACAGCGTCGGGGAGGCAGGCACGCTTGGGAAGAGGAAGGAGCGTTGGAGGTTCGGACGCGAGGTCAGTGGTTGCTCCGAATCGGGTTAGCCTCCCGGCGACGGGGAGGACGGCGGCTCAGGCGGGGCTGTGGTTGGCCAGCCGCGGCAGCCTCCACGATGGCTGGCTTTGCTCTGTATTAGCTCTCTCGGCAGGATCCATGGATGGCGACATTCATCTCAGCCTGCGAGCACGACTGACAGCGGCAGGGCGCCCCCTAGGCCAGCCGTCCGCATCGGCATCGCGCCCGTGTGGGCAGTCTGCAGCCTGTACTCCGGACTGGCTGGATCTCAACTCCGTCCCCTTCGGGCTCTGATAAAGGCAATCAACGGCATATCAGTGGCCAGCCCAGCAGGATGGGACTCCCTGCAGTCTGCAGAGCAAGCCAGCTTAACTGCAGACTAGGCCGCAGCCCCGAATTTAGGACTGCAGCAGTGGCCCACAAGGCACCATGGCATGATGGGGGCGCATTGGCGCCTTTTCTCCACGCTACACCGTCTCTGCGTCAGCGTCTTGACAGCAGCGATCTGAGGAAGCAGCCTCCCTAGTGCCCGCAGTACCACCGTTTCCGCAGCGTATCTCGACGATCCGTTTAGCCCAGTCGATCCTCCACCCTGCCCGCTCGTTAGTCTGCCCTCTGCAGAACTTAAGCCTGTCCCGCACCACCGCAGGAATGGCCGACTTTAGCAGCTAAGCAACTACCTAAGCAGCCTTGGAATGGGAGCATCGCCACGGCCTGGCAAGCGTTATTGGTCCCATCCAGAGGACGTGAGTCTTCACCAGACAAGGAAGAACTTCCCCTATAGTTCATCGCAATGCTTCCAATTGGTCTGATGAGCTTACAGCATGCCCTTGATCAAGCATCTTCCTTCTTACCCCTTTGAGAGAGAAGGTAGGGTTTGGCCTTGTAGGCTGGGGAGAGATAAGCAGCGAAATGCCGATGGGCTGGACCCCAGGGATTCGTGCGGATTTACAGTTGATTCCCCCTGCGGGTTACTCTGTATGACTGGGATTGCAATTATCCTGTGCCCCGTGCAACCCTTGTCGGCGACGGGGACTGTATTCCCGGCCTTAGATCATTTGCAATCCCTGTCTCACAACAGAACGTCATGCCTGTCCAGCTAGTTTCCCCTCCTCACCCACCCCTCCACTAGCGTGTCTCCGGCATTCCATGGTGAGCCATTACCCGGAATAATGAATTGATTGAGGACTCTTCCAACTCGACGGGGTCTGAGGTGGGATTCACCTCAACTCTGTGTGAGCCTGATTGTTCCCCTTGCGTACAGCCTCAGTTCTATTCGCACGATCGAGACCCACAAAGGCTGATTGATAATATCCACTTCGCTGCTGGCCGAATCTTCGCGGGACGGAAGGCTTTCAACTCAAATCCAACCCTTCTCGGTGGTAGGACCAGTAGGACCTCTCTGTGTAGATGTATGCGCTGCTTCGCGAACCTGCGGTTCGTCAGTCGCAAGCCGCATTCCATTATCGATAAATCGTCGCCAAAGGCGGCATCCAGATCGCGGGTCGTGCCGGACGAAGCACGTTGTCTCGGACTGCCTTTGCTCGTGGCTGCCACTCAGCATCCCCAAGCCCTCGCACCCATCAAGGAGGGTTCGAAAGTCCCCCTTTCTGGGATTTTTGGTGTGGTGATCGCAGTCCGGGACATGCTTCCAGTCCCGATCCTTATATGCAACTCTCTTCGCTGCAGAAGCCGCAGCGGTGGACCGTGAGAGAAGCTTAGGTGCAGATGTCAGAGGCCCATGTGCCGCAGCTATGGCCAGTTCAAATCCGTTCCCGCTGCAGTGTCTGGGTGGCTTTGCCTGCAGCCCAGTCGATACCCAGGTAATTCGATCGATGGCAGCCTGCAGGTTTCCTTGATGGAGGGGGCCAAAGCTCCCATCGTCTCTCTCCTCCACCAGTCGTAGCAGGCGGTCGAATGTAGTGGCCTGCATGATTACTATTACTATTATTATGATTATGGTTTCTGCGCCTGTCGTAACTGATGAGGTACACCACCCACACCAACACCACACATGCCATTTCGGTGCCCTGTTTCGCAAAGAATTTCCAGCAAGTCGATCTGGAATCGCTCTGCACGCCACCGGACTTGCTTTTCCTCGATTTTCTGAATCATCCCACCCTCCCCGATGGTGCCCTCCATCCGATTCTCACGCTGCCGGGTCACTCCCAGGTATGTTTGCCGTCACTGGCCGGGCCATCTGATACATTCTACACGGAGTCGCCCTACCCTGACTGCTATTGCGCCTCCGCGTGAGTCATGCAGGCTTCGGCTGCCCGGTTTGGAGGTCCGTTGATGACCAAGCGGCCTGTTCATGGGATACCGGCAGGATAAGGAAATCCATCGGGCTGTGCGACATGCCCCCCTCCCAGAGCCCTTTAGGAACAACTCCCGTAGGCTTCCTCACCTTTCTGAACGTTTCGACCCGCCTCGCCACCCCTCCAAGGTGCGAGAACCAGAAACAAGAGCCGCGACGCTCGAAAAAACAAGCAGAAACCGGGAATCCACCGCCGACGTAATCGGTCGTCAGGGTGAAGCCTTGCTAGTGCCGGATCGACGCCCTGCATGACCTCTCCTGTCACATATCAAATGAGAGCTGCAGGAGAGCGCCGCCGCAGCGCATCTTTAAAGGCGTCGGTTTCCCTCTCGCCGTGCCGGACCCTGCAGAAGAGCTTCCCCTAACTACGTGTTCGCTCTGTATTCGCAGTCTCTCCATCTTCGTCCTGCCCTTGGCCCCTTGCTCTCGATCGATCGGATCTAATCGAGCGCTGTCATCTGTGACCGCGGTAAACTGTCCAGTCTCGACGAGCGTTTGCGCGCCTCCTTCCGCGGTGCAGATTTCGAAACGGCCCTCCGCGCTGTACCTTGCGTACGGGTGTGTTTCGGCTGCACCTCCTGCAGCTTCGATCCTTTGCATCTCGATCTTCAGCCGCAAGCAGCCCGTGGGGGGTTTCATCGCTTCGCTCTTCCCCATTCGAACGTGTTGCTCCATTGCACGCGCGCCTCCTGTCTCGCCCTTCGTACGCCCACTCTGGAGCAGTCGAGCCACCAGAGCCGCACGGGGAGCCACGTGTGGTTGGAGATCCTACCTTACCCCGGACCTAGGCCAGCGTGCCAAGGACCTCGATCGCAGTATTACCTCGCGCAGGTATGCAACTCCTCCTCCACTTCCTCTCCATCACTCAGCTCATAGATAAATAGGGAACAATCATCCGTCGTTGATTTGCCTCGTGTGCCCACTGTACTCTCTCACTCGGGCATTCTCCGCTAAGTAAGTACATACGGTGCGCATCGTCAGTGTCGTCTTGTATCAATGCCCTTGTTTCTGCGCCTCATTATCGTTCTTATCGTCTCCGCGCTACCCGCCCGTCTGTCCTGTTCGGGCAATCTGCTTGGCTGCAGTCCAGTCAGCACACTCTCTGTCCCTGTCTGTTCTATATATACCTTGATCTACCTGCTTGGGAGCTGGACCCCACCAGCTATCGCAAGGGATGTCCGTGCACCGCGAGAGCTCGCTGGCAGCTCTGGGGGGCAATCTCGGCAGTCGGCTGCGCTGGGCACCGCCATTGGTGGCAAGCGCGCTGCTTGGATGCTCGCTGGGGCCTGCTGGGCGGTGAAGGTCGCAGCTTCCCTGGTTGAGTCCAACTCCGAAGGCTCGGTCGCTGCTGCCGCCCAAGCGCCTGCCCTGCCCGCCCGCAGCTCACCGCCCTCGCTTCCCGTTCCAACAAAACTGCTCCCCTCCCCCGTCTTCCCCAGCCTGACTGCCCTCGGCCTGAAGAATGCCATCCTCCGCCCCGAAGTTGCCTGTTCCCTTCCTTCTTGCCTGTCCTGTCGGCCTGGATCTTGTCGTGATTGCCCTCTGGGCGGCTTGACTCCAGGGCTTCATCCTATCACCTGCTGCATCCGCCTCTCAGCGGTTCGGCAGTCATTGCACCATTCACATTCTGCCTTGTCCATCCCGCTTTTTCTCCCCTTGTGTCTCTCATCTCGAATCTGCGTTCTTCACGAGCCATATATTGGAAATCTAACATCTAATCGCCTTCCTGATTCTGCAGCCGCAAGTTCTCCGTATCTCACTTTTTTCCCGCTGGCGCCACATAAAGCCTGCCGGGCGACCAAACACCCGCACCTCCGTCTCGCTAAGTCATCCCGTCTTACCCGCTGCGTCATCTGCGACTTCCCGCGATTCCCAGTTGTCAACCAGCAGACAAGCGAGGCTCGCTCTGTCTGTACGGTTCTCGATTCCCAACTGAGGTACGTGATGCCTGCGCATGCCGCGGCATCAGAGAATTGCCCCTCTTGATCATTCCCTCCGACCCTCATCTCAAGTTCTATGCAGCCCACCTCCACTTGCTTGGCACACTCGTGGAGAACAGGCTCCCAAGGGTCTACCAACTGTTCGTGGTAGTGCCGCATGAACTGTCCTGGTCTTCCCTGGATGTTGGGTTGTTTGGCCTCCGCATGTCTGCCAATTGAGACTAACTCTAGGATCTACTTGATCAGATTTATTCCTGACCCCACCTTTCCTGACTGCGCGACCGCCTCATAGCTCTCCGGACACTCGCCTTACCCGTCTTTTATTATCAACAGATCTCAGTGTCGACTGAACGCTCCACCTGACCTGGATGATTTCCGGCTTCGCCATATGTGACCTGTCCATCGAACCAGTCATTTCAAAACTTCAATCGATTGCTTTATGCCGCCTTTTTATTAACAACTAGTGCTCCCGAGGGTATATTCTAGCCAAGAGATCTTCCTTGCTCGCTCCGCAGAGAGTTGGCCTTCTAAGTCGGGATATGGCGGAGGCCAGTTTTGTGAAGAGTGAACCACAAGACCAGAACGGAAATTCAAACCATTTCGCAATGTCTCAATCTGGATACACAATGTCGAACCAACAGTTTGACTCCAACTTTGGAAACGGGAATGGGAACGAAGGCGTGGATCCCTCCAACCTGACCATGCAAAATGGCATGTTCATGCCCTACTCCTTTGGCTCGCAGCAAAATCTGTCTACAAGCTTCAACCTGGGAAATTCCGGAATTGGTACGGATGAGCTTCTCGATCTCGACCTCAACGGACAGAACGGGATGCAGCACAACGATGGGATGGGCTTCGTCCAGGACCAGCATCAAAACCCGGTCTTGTCCATGAGCCATCAGAGTCAGATGACGCAAATGTATTCTCATACCCCCGATGGCGCACCCATTCAGAGTCCTTTCATCAACGGGAGCTTCAATTACGATCAATTCCAACCCATGAATCCGCAGTCTCAAAGTACTCCGTCGCAGCTGCAGAACGCAAATAACCACTTTGACCAGAATTTCCTAAATACCAACAAGGCTCGGTCGAGTCTGCAGGTTCTGGATCGTTCGTCTTCTGATGGCCGTACCCCGATGACTCCTAAGACTCCCGGCCTTGGTGGTCTGACCCTGGGCACTCCGGAGTCAGGGAGCTTTCCTTCCCAGCCGATCCGCGCGACCAATCTGCAGCATCGTCATCAGAAGACCCTATCCAACCAATGGGATGGTACTCCAGGAAGCGCACACTCGTTTGTCGAGTCCCCAATCTCATCCCCAGGCCATCATTCCCACCACGCGGGCATCTCCGAGATCCTAAAGTCCGGCAAGCATGCTTCACTGCCTGCCAAGGTGGATGCCCAGACTGCCCAGGCTCTTGAATCCCAGGAAGCCAAGCGGCGGCGGCGGCGGGCTTCCCACAACATGGTAGAGCGCCGACGGCGCGACAACATTAACGAGAGAATTCAGGACTTGTCGCATCTCGTCCCGCAGCATCGGCTGGAAGATGACAAGGTGCGGAAACAGCTCATGAACAACTCGGCCCTGGGTTCGGCCACCAGCTTGAGCCCACCGAATGCGACCTCTCTCCTTGCCGGAGGCAGCGGCCGTCGAGCCACGGCTGGCAACATCACCATGGGTCTTCCCATTGAGGAGAAAGAGAAAGGACCCAACAAGGGCGATATCTTGAACGGCGCAGTCGGCTGGATGAGGGACCTCATGTGGGCCCTCCATACGAAGATTCAACAGGAATCTGAGTTGGCTGAGTTGATCACGAGCCTCGGTGGGACTTGGCCCTTTGAACAGACGGAAGAAGAGAAGAGAATGCGCACGGAGCTGCTCGATGCCATGGAAAAGAATGATCCAAGTACCTTCCAGTATAGTCGAGGTCCAGGGAGTGGCCTTCGAGTCCCGAAGCACACGAACTTGGCAGGCGAGCCCCTCCAAAATACCGAAACCACGAGTCCAAGTCTGAGTCCTGGATTCAACAGTGGCGGGAGCGGTACCAACAGTGGTGGAGGCGGTCAGTCTCAGTTCTGGAGCGGCTCTGGTAACGTTGACATGAGCTTGAAGGAAGAAGATGAATACTCGATGGAGATGAATTAGACGCAAGACGAGTCCTGAGGATCTCGTTTCGGCTCCCAATCCATGTCATGAAGAGGTTGCATAAATGGCGTCAAGTGGAGGGGAAGGATCACGGGCGTAGACGGGATTTCTTTTAATTGATTGATTTCTATCCATCTCTGCATGTGCTGATCTTTTGCGATCGTTACGTTTGTTTCTATTGGCGTGAGATCCGTCTGTTTGCCAGTTTCTGCTTCCTGGTAACTGTTGTCATTTTCGATGTCCTTGGTCATTGTTTTTTTTTCTTTGGGTTCTGCCTCGTGTGAATTCTTGCGTCTTATCTCCTGGAGTTCATATGGATGTAATATGTGGGGTGGCCGGAAGGTTCATGGATCGTCATTGACAGCTTTTCTCGTGGGATATATATCATTGGCCTCATTTGTTTTTTCTTTTTGACATCTCGAAGAGCCCTCCGCTCTCTTGATGACAGTCCGTCATGATGAATGTGGGTATCGTTGGAAAGGTTCGTATGTGGCGATGCGTCGGCGGACTGCTTTCCCTGTTGCCTTTTCATATCTGCGCATTATTATCGATACCCCCGATTTCCTATTTACTTCCCCCCCCCCCC